ATGTTCTGAGTTCCTGCTAGATCTAGAATTCTAACAATCTTAGTGCATTTAGTAAGCACCCATATTATAGTTTTGAATAGCTGTGGTAAATGGAAAATTTGAGGAATTTAGGTAAAAGGCCTTCCTTTTCTTCTTACCTAAATGTTTCAGGTAATTGTTTCTGTTTACTGGTATTATCAGATATTGTACACAACATACGTCCTTTGAATTGTTTAATTAATAAAAATCAATACTACTTTTTATCTACTTTATTTTATAATTGAGTTCTAACGCTCATATATTCTTAACTACGACTCATTTACATGTGGAATAAACAATGGAAGTTACCTAGCTCTTGTTCAACAAGTAGTTCCTGATTCAAAATGTTCTAAGAGCAACTATTACATCACAGTTCAGAGAAGAAAAATGTTTAATTTTCTTCCAGAGGGCTAGATCTTACAGACTGCGACATTGCCTGTTTAATTAAATGGGAGTAACTATTGTAGAACTTAAAGCTTGGCAACCTGGCCCTTCATAAGGGAAATCAGTGTCTAGGTTGTAGACAAAATTTACTGGCTAGCATGTGTCCAATGTTCTTGGATGTTTTCTAGTAGCTCTCACAAATACTACAGTATTTATTCTTCATTTCCTTTAAAGCAGGCCTATGAGAGACAGCAAAATTCCACGTCTACTTAAGAACTCTGAGTATCTTTTACATGGTGAAAATTACATACTCTATGTGCACAGACTGTAGAATAAATCATGCAATTTAACTTTTATTAGTTACCAAATTCAGGATTTTTCTCTGCAATTGTAGCTTTGAAGAGAGTGTTAATATGTATGGTATCTAGTATGTATGGTATTTGATCAGGAGTGATGTCCATGAAATTGAATTATGGATTGGTAGTCACAACTCCACCTACAGCACCCCTTTACCATCAAAGTGTCAAAACAGGATCACAGTCAGTGTTGAAACAGAAGAGTGCAGTTGGTATTAAAATCTGAAATCTTTCTCAAGGACATGAGGAGCTTAGCAAAACTTTATGTACATGTTAGGATATTTTAACATGAATTTAAAAAATGGACTTTTTAGATCTAGAGGAAGAGGTAAGTTTCTATATGACTATTAATTATATAGAAATTAGGTTTGAATCTGGCACAGAGTTTGAGTTTTACTGTGTTTTTGCTATGGGCGAGGAAAAGCTTTTAGATTTTTCTTTTTAAAAAGTTTTAATTTATTCTTTTGTCTCTAATATATGTTTTTAATATTTGGAATGGTAATTATTGAAAAATTGGAAAAGGGCACAGACTTAGGGAGAGGCAAAGAGATTAAAAAAAATGTTTTAGGTTGTAAGTAAGTTCTGAAAGCTGAAGATGATTCAGGAGTACCTTGAAAAAGTTCAGACTTATTAAATAAGTTTTTATCGAGTAATACAATGTTCTAATAGAGGTATACATTGTTCTAAGGTTCTTTGAAACTTTAAAGATAAAGTTTGGGTTATGCTTCTGTTCTGACTTTAATAAGCTATTCACGTAATTTTAACACTCACTGTCCAACCTCTATGAAGGTTGTGTAATAACTTAAATATGGAGCATTATTAAGTAATTTCTGCCACTCTCTGATAAAGATAGTTCCTGAAACTCAGGCTGTGGTGGCAAACAAGAGATATCACTTTTGAGTTCTAAAAAATTAGGCCTCATTTTAGTACTGAAAACCAAGGTAGGGAGGCAGGGATTTTAGTGTGAACTTGGGCCACTTGTTGATTCTTTTTGGCACAATAGTTCTGTTGCTGCCAGAGTTTACATTAGGGAAATTTCCTGTGGACTTTAGATTTTAACTATTGAGTTCCCTTGGGTGATTTGTTTAAGGAAGAATTATCTGTCCTTCTTTGAGTTGCTTCATTGAGGACTTGAGTTGGAAGGCTGAATTTGGTGAGATTATGCTGGCAAGGGAGTTTTACAGATGGTTTATTCTTTACACCTATGTCAGTTAAAACCGTCTCCCACGAACAAATTCAGCCTCTTTATTCAACAGACCTAAAAATAGGGTCCTAAATTTAGAGGGCAAGGTGATACTTTTAGCTTCCCTTCCCAGGAGAACAGTCCCAGTCTAGGCAAGGTCCACACGGGTTTGATGATTTAGCATTTGGGTAAGTAGAGGCTCAAGCAGTTTAGGACAGTTCTTACTAGCAAGTGCCCCGGTAACTCTGATAAAAGTGAGGAACCCTTACGAACCCTTCGCTGTGCAGAGGAGACCCGATCGATGTTCTCTTGCGTGGGGGAGGTTAAACTTTGTGCAGACAACAGGTGACCGGAGATGCCTTCCTGTCCAAAGTCGAAAGTCCGGAAATAGTTGGCAGAACACAGGCGCGGGCCCTGCAGGTCATTTTCTAACTGGAATGAAGGTGGAGACCAGTTTTCCTAAACCCGCTGGGTCCCCTGGGGTACGAAGCAGTCAGGGCTTCTATGGGATCCAGATAGAGGGCTCTTGCGGTGCTGAGAGAGAAAAACGATGCGGATAGGGGCTGGGTCCGGTTTCGGCCGCAGGGCCAAGGGGGCGCGCCACGCTCTACCAGTGGGGCTGTGCTGAGGGGCCTCCCCCGGAAGCCTCACTACCTCTTGAGGTCACCCGCTGGAGGGTGGGGGTGGGCCAAAGCCCTTGGTGTCTGAGCTGAGCAGCGCACATCACAGTGCAGAGCTCAAGGCCGAATCGTATTTTCTCAATCCCGAGGCCCTGGAATTCCAAAGGTGGGTGGTTTCGCCAGGTAGACCGCCTGCCACTTTAAGAGTTAGTGGCCAGGACACGTCTACGAACCCCGCGCAAGGAAGGAGGGGAAATTTACCGGGTCCCTAACCCCGCCTCCCTGCCTCCCTACCTTGGTTTGGCCGAAACCAAACGGAGGGGTGGGGTGGTGAGTAGAGGGCAAGTCGCCGTCTCTGGCAGGACGTGCTTGGACTTTCTCATCACCTGGACCCAAAGCGTAACATAGGGGCCGAGGCTTCCTATTGGACAGCCTGGACACCTGAGGCCCGTGGTGCCGTTCCTCCTCCGTGACCTCCTCTCCCCCCCACAGCCGGCTCCGCAGTGGTGTGGTCCGGTTGTCGGTGCGGGTTTGGGTTCTGGACTGAACGCAGCGTGTTGTTTGCCGCTGATTGTTGCTCAGTCAGGCCCAGGCTGTGGTGGCTGTATCCAAGGCAGCCCTGGCGCCATGGAGGAGCCCAGGACTGCCCCTCGGCCGTACTTGGGGCTGGTCCTGGAAAAGCTACGCTGGGTAAGGCCAGGCGCGATCAGGCCCGGGGTCACGGAAGCCACGGAGGGGAGGAAGCAGCAGACTTTGGCTTTTGGGTCTGAGCGGCAGTGGTGGGAGGTCCCAAAGCCAGTCTTCATCTGCCACCGGACAGGCTTGTGTCCGAGGCTGTAGCCAGGTTCGTGGGATGCTTGGGCCATTTTTTTGTGTGTGGTGGAAGGGGACCTGGAGATCAGGAAAGTGAAGAGAGCGTTTGCTTAGTGGGACTTTACAAAGGTGTGTTAAATGTTTCCCGATTCCTAAAACTATCCTTTCCCTCATTTAATTTATTTTGAACAGGGGTCAGTGACACGTAGTTCCCCCGACTGTAAGAAACTTAAGGACTGCTCCTCTGAGTTGAGTTCCTTTTAGTGATGTAACTTCTTGTACTGAAAGGATAACTAAGCCTGGACGGGGAGTAGGGATGCTAAATCTACATTTTCTTTTAAGATGTTCTTTTGAGATTCTTTACCATAAGTGAGATTGTCCTTCCCCTCTTTCTGTTGTCTTGTTTATGTAAAAGGTCATGTTAATGTGAATCTGGAGATATTAAACTCCAGGTGTTTAAAATTATTAGGTTCAGTTTATAATTATGTTGCAGGGATTTTTCTGAGTGTTTATAGGTGTTTTTGTTGACATGTTTAGGGGTATTTACGTGGTTGTGTTTAAAAAAAATTATCTGCACTAAAAATTTAAAAAGCTCTTTTTAAATATTGGGGCAGTTGCCATTATTTGTAAATTAAAAAGTATAGTTGCTATGGTATTCGTATATACTCGTATAAGACAGTTCTATCAGGATTCTAATGGACTATGACATAATTTGGGCCACTGGTATCATGCAGCTGGTTAAGAGAGGCAAGACAAAAAGAAATAATATAAAGTAGAAACTGATGAAGTGCTTACTGAAACACAGAGAAAGTGGTAGGGAAATTGATGAGTGAGAGAGATTACATTTTCTGGAGTCTCTAGGAAGGCTTTTCCAGGCTGAGGGGATAGTTTAAACACAGGAGGCATGAACCAGCATGGTGTGTGCAGTGAACTGGGAGTATTACTGGAAGTGTCAAGCTGGGCTCAGGGAGTGATGTGCAATGATGCTTGCTGGAGACATAAACAGGTTCCAGGTAATAGTGTATGTGCAGGAGAGCCATTGAACTTTTGCTTAACACTTTAGGTGCAGCATAATTCTGTATCACGTAGCTGAAGCATGACTGAAACATTTACGTAAACCTTTACTAAAGTATATACAAAGAAAGAAAGAAAAACAAACAAACCACAGAGAATAAGATAGAGATAATTCACCCTATACAACATACCTTCCTCTTGGCTCCTAGGCAGTGTCTCATTTTAGGACCTGCCATGTTTTTATGTGCTAGGCACCGTATTAGCACCCATCTCTACATTTAGCAAAGTCTGTGTCCCAGGACAGAATGACTGATATAGAAATAAGCGTTTCAAGATCAAATAGTGGTTTCCTTTGACAGGCCCTCTTCCTTGATCTGTATGATTGGCTTTGGGAAAGACCACCTTCCTTTCTACATCGAGGGTGATAGACCATAACCATTTGCAGGAAGTTTCCTGTTTCAGTTGACACAGACTAGCAGATTGTCCTTCTCTGCAGTGATTCCTCCAAGATGTCCAAGTAGATTTGTCCAGTAAAGTGGTATTATTAAACTCAAAGTTGGAGTCACAGATTTTGTGAGTATCATAGTGATAGCTAAGTTTCTTCTTTTAAAGGTTGTGGCAGCACTGCCTGAAGATATCGGAAAAAGTTCTAATTCCTATGGTTTTCCATGGGAATTGCTGATATGTGCAGCTATTGTTGGATTTTTTGCTGTTTTCTTGTTTTTGTTGAGAAGTTTTCGATCGGTAAGTAACCGGTGCTGTAGAGTAAGAGAATGTTCATTTGTCTTCATTTTGTCTTCAGATTGAACAAGTAATATGAGAAACATTTTTTTATTTTAAGATAACAAATTAGACTCTAGTTATGTGAGCTACTCATGTTAATGTGTAGCTACTAGAAACTGAATATGTATTTAGAGGAATTTTTGAAGTGTAAAAATTTTAAAGAATTTCTTTGTAGAACTAATACTAAAGCCTTACCTTTATTATTTATTTATGGTCTGTGTTTGTTTTAAATAGTATACTAGACATCTGTGAATATATGACTCAACTGGGAAACAAAAACATTGACTATCACTTATATTAGGTGATCCTCCCTCATTTTATTCCCCCATCTCTCTGTACTAGAGGTAACCCCGACCTGGATCCTGTGTTGATTATTCCCATGCCTTAACTTTTTTTTGGCCCTATCTACATACATTTCTCACAAGTGTAGCATGTGATTTTACTTGGTATCATGCTGTATGTCATGTTTTGGAACTTTTTTCTTCCATCCTGTATTGCTAAGAGTCATCCATATTTTTGGATGAAGCTTTAATTTTTTTCCATTTTGATTGTTCTAATATTTACATTGTAAGAATAGACTAAAGTTTATAGATTTTATGGTCTTGGATATTTGGGTTTTCAGGTTTTTTTCTATTACTATTAGTGCTGCTGTGTGTATTACTTTTTTTAATTAAAAGTATTTTCAATTATAGTTTACATTCAGTATTATTTTTTATTAATTTCAGGTAAACAGCATATACTTTACAAAGTGTTCCTCTTGATTTTTCTAGTACCCATCTGATATATATATTCTTATACATATCTCCTGTTGTATATTTTAGAGTTTCTCTTAAGAATATATTTAGGTTTGAGATTACTGGGTTATAGAGTACATAGAGTTAATGCCAAATTGTTTTCCAAATTGTACCAGTTTACACCCTTACCAACAATATATGACAGGTCTAGAGATCTGTATGATTTTTGTCCTTTCCAACACTTGTTCTTTTGTCACTTGAATGGGTATAAAATTGTATCTTACCATGGTCTTGATTTGAATTCCTTGATCACTAATGAGATTGAAATCTCTTACTGAATTTACCAGCCATATGTATTTGTTATTTTGGGAAATAATTGTTTATGCTTTTTGCCCTTGTTTTCATTAAGTTGTTTGCTGTTTTTTATTTGTAGGAGTTCTTTATATGTTTTCGATGCTATTGTTGTTGCTTACATGTATGGCAAATGTCCCAGTATGAAACATCTTTTCATTTTATTTAAGATATTTTCTAGTAAGCACATATTCTTAATTGTAAAATTTTACTTTTATCATGCAAGTCCTTGATTCATCTTGATTCCAGTTTTTTGTCTGATATGGGATAGGGATTCAGTGTAATTTTTCCTCCCCAAGATACACCATTTTTTTTCCAGCTTCACGTATTGAATAGTCCCTCCTTTCCCTACTCCTCTGCTATGCCATATATTAGAATTCCACATAGATATACATCTTTTTTTCACTCTAATTCTATTCTTTTAATATGAGATCTTTTATTGTTTTTTAATGTGGGAAATTTCTTCTATGTTTTACATTTTTACTTTTCTTTTTTTGGGACGACAGTGTTTTAGATATTAGCCCTTATACTTAAGGGTTCTATATCTTTTAACTTAAAATTTTTTTTTGTAGTTTCCTGTTCCCTTTTAGAGTAGTTCCTCATTCTGATCAGTTCATTAATTTATCCCTCATATATACCCGTTCTACTGTAACTTAGCTTTCAAATTTTGTCTCTTTTAATTTTATCCCTGGAATCTTCTGTGGATGAATTCAGTCCCCATTGTTTTTTATACTTGCTTATATTTCCTCAACCCTAAATCTCATCTCTCTATAAATGGGGATTTTTCCTTCATTATTTGAGGGAGAGATTAAGGAATAAAAAGGTTGTGTTTATTGTTTCTTTATATCAGCTTCAATCCATGACCTAGTGGTAACATTTCTCAAATTGTGTTATTTTGTATGTTAGCACCCGGGGAGATAATAATAGGGGCTTCTTGAAATAGTTTGCTTTAGGGTCAAATCTGTTTGAGGAACAATGGTCTAAATGAAATTAAACAGGTATTTTTAAGATACAGTTATTTGAAAGCCTTTAATATGCTAATATACAATGTGAACTTTTAATAGATGTTAATATGTGGCATTTTTCTCATTGTATACATCATTGACTTGGATATCATTTTTGTGAAGTTGCCTTTCTTTTGGCTAACTTAAATTCATACTAAGGCAATAAGAAAAGTGTTATTTTTAAGTTTGCAGTAGAAATTAAATAAATCTGTATTTACTTGAATGTGTATTTGTTTTAATGTAATTTTGTTTAAAATTTGTTTCAGATTAGAAGTCGGCTTTATGTGGGTAAGCTCGTTTTTCTACTTTAGAACTCACCATGTTTATAATTTTAAAACAAAAAAATTTACACATGATATTATTAACTTTTCAAAAATTTATTTGGGCCCTGGCTGGTGTGGCTCAGTGGAATAAGTGATGGCCTGCGAACTGAAAGGTCACTGGTTCAGTTGCTGGTCAGGGCATATGGCTGGGTTGCGGGCCAGGTCCCTGGTTGGAAGCATGAGAGAGGCAACCAGTTGATGTTCCTCTCACATATCCATGTTTCTCTCCCTCTCTTTTCCCCTTCCTTCCTTTCTCTCTAAAAATAGATAAATAAAATCTTTAAAAAAATTTATGGGGAAAACATTGGCTAGTGATATTATATAATTTTTAGGTATACAAGATTATAATCCCACATGTGTGTTCTCTATTGAGGTCTACCACCTGAAATCTAGTTTCCTTCCATCACCATATATTTGACCCTTCACCCACTTTGCCCTCTCCCCACCCACTTTCCCCACTCATAACCACCATTCTGTTGTCTGTATCTGAGGTTTTTTTTTTGTTTGTTACTTTTTAAAAACATTACACATATGAGTGAAACCATATGGCTTTTGTCCTTTTCCATCTGATTTATTTCACTTAGCATAATACTTTAAGATTTATCCCTGTCACCAATGACAATATTTCATCTTTTTTTTTTTAATCCTCACCTGAGGATATGTTTATTGATTTTAGAGAGAGAAGAAGTGGGGTGGTAGGGGGCAGAGAGAGAGAAAGAGACTAAGAGAAAGAGAAACAAACATCAGTTGGTTTGCCTGCCATATATTCCTTGACCAGGGATTGAATCAGCAACCCAGGTATGTGCCCTGACTGGAAATCAAACCTGCAGCCTTTTGGAGTACAGGACGATGCTCCAACTGGGCCACTGGCCAGGGCAATATTTCATCTTTTTTATTGCTAAGCAGTATTCTATTATATATATTTTATGCTATGTAAGGACACATCACATATTCTTTAACCAGTCATGTGTCAGTGGACACTTAGGTTGGCTATTGTAAATAATATTGCACTAAATATTGGGGTACATGTATTTTTACGAATAAATGTTTTCATATTTTAACTTTTTGTTTAGAAAGAGAGAAAAAGCTTGCTGTAGAACTTTCTACACTAATTGAAGAAAAATGTAAACTACTTGAAAAATTCAGCCTTGTAGAAAAAGAGGTAAGACATTTTTGAAAATACTAACATTCATGTTAGAGTCAGAGAACTTTCTATTAATACTTCTCAATTCAGGTACTTCTATCTATGTAAGTTTAAGATTATTAATGTTTTGTTTGCAAAGTGTAGAGTTCAGCTGCTCTTCATATTTCTAGGTTTCAATTTGTCTTTTCCTAACTAATGAGTTTAAGCACCTTTTAATGTTTTTTGGCCATTAGGATATCATTTTTTTGAAGTTGCCTTTCTTTTATTCTTTTGTTTCTTTAAACTATTTTTAATGGTTTACCTTTATTTATTTATTTTGATATGTGGGATTTTTTTCCCTATATTTTGGTTATGATTCCATTGCCAGATATATGTATTGCAAATATCTTCTTCCATTCTTTGTTTGCCTTTTTATTTCAAATGGTCTTGGTAAACAGAAGTTTTTAATTTTAACATAGTCAAATTTGTGAATCTTTTCCTTATGACTTCTTTTTGTTTTCTACTTAAGAAATTTTTGTCTACTCAAGGATATGAAGATGTTCTTCCATGTTATCTTTTAGAAACTTTATTGTTTTACTTTTCTTATTTAGTCTTTATGTTTGTTTGCTAGTTCTATCATAACATACCGTAGACTGGGTGGCTTACACAACGGGAATTAATTTTCTTCACAGTTTTGGAGGCTAAAAGTCCAGGACCGAGGTGTTGGCAGGTTTGGTTTCATTTGAGGCCTCTCTCTTCGGCTTGCAGATGGCAGCCTTCTCCCTGTGTGCTCAAAGGGCCTTTCCTCTGTGCTGGTGCCTGTTCTGGTATTTCTCCATGTGTCCAACGACACTTTTCTTATAAGGACCTGAGTCAGATTAGATTAGAGCCCACCCTAAAGGCCCCATTATTACTTAGTCACATGTTTAAAGGGCCAATCTCCAAATACTGTCAAATTCATACTGGGGATTGGGGCTTCAGCATATGAATTTGGGGGTAGAGAGAACAATTCGGCCCACATTTAATCAGTCCTTAATATATCTGGAATTACATTTGTGATGGTGTGATTTGGAGGTCAAGATTTAATGTTTTTCATATGGATATTGAGTTAACCAGTATTATTTATTCAAAAGACCATCTTTTCCTTTTCTTAAAAGTGTATTTTATTATGTTATTACAGTTGTCCTAATTTTTCCTCCATTGTCCCCCTCTGCCCCGTACCCCCCTTCCTTTCAGCAGTCCCCCTCTTAGTTCTTGTCTATGGGTTGCGTATATAAGTCCTTTGGCTTCTCCATTTCCTATACTGTTCTTAACATCCTTGTTTATTTTGTACGTACCAATTACGCTTTTGAATCTCTGCACCTTTCCCCCCATTCTCCCCTTTCTCCCTCCCCCGTGATAACTGTCCAAATGATCTCCCTATCTATGATTCTGTTCCTGTTCTGGTTGTTTGCTTAGGTTTTTTTTGTTTTTTGTTTTTTTTTTAGATTCAGTTGATGGTTGTGAATTTGTTGCCATTTTAATGTTCATGGTTATGATCTTTTTCTTAAATAAGTCCCTTTAATATGTCATGTAATAATGGCTTGGTGTTGATGAACTCCTTTAGTTTTACCTTGTCTGGGAAGCACTTTATCTGCCCTTCCATTCTAAATGATAGCTCTGCTGGAAAGAGTAATCTTGGATATAGGTCCTTTTCATCACTTGAATACTTCTTGCCAGTCCTTTCTTGCCTGAAAAGTTTCTTTTGAGAAATCAGCTAACAGTCTTATGGGAACTCCTTGGTGGGTAACTCTCTGCCTTTCTCTTGCTGCTTTTAAGGTTCCTTATTTTTAACATTTGGCATTTTAATTATGATGTGTTTTGGTGTGGTCCTCTTTGGGTCCAACTTGTTTGGGACTCTCTATGCTTCCTGGACTTGCATGTCTATTTTCTTCACCAAATTAAGGGAGTTTTCTTTCATTATTTGTTCAAACAAGTTTTCAATTTCTTGCTCTTCCTCTTCTTCTGACATCCCTATGATTTGGATGTTGGCACATTTGAAGATGTCCCAGAGACCTTTTTATACTATCCTCGTTTTTTTGGATTCTTGTTTCTTCATTCTGTTCTGGTTGAATGTTTATTTCTTCCTTATATTCCAAATCATTGATTTTAATCCCAGCTTCTTTCCCTTCACTGTTGGTTCCCTGTAGATTTTTCTTTATTTCACTTAGTGTAACCTCCATTTCTTCCTTTATGTTGTTGCTGTACTTGGTGATTTCTTTGAGCATCCTCACTGCCATTGTTTTGAACTCTGCATCTGGGAGGTTGGCTATCCCCATTTCTTTTAGTTCTTTTTCTGTTCTCTCATTTGGGTCAAAATTCTTTGTCTCCTTAATTTGGCAGCCTCCCTGTGTTTGTTTCTGTGTTTTAGGTAGAGCTGCTTTGACACCCTGTAAAAGGCACCTGTAAATTGTCTGGGGAAGAGCCTTAAGTAATGACCAGGATGGGGCAACCCACTTCCCTGCCTTGTGGCTTTGTGTGTGGGGAGGCTGAAAGAGGGGACTGTGCCGCTGCCTGGGTTCTGGGGGTTTGCCTGAACCCCTTTTCCAGTCACTTCACCCACTCCCCATATATGACTGGAACACTTCCAGCTATTGCCCTGGTGTTGAATCCCAGAGTGGGTGGGTTTGCGTACAGTTTAAGACTGTGTGGGCACTTAAGTGGAATTTCCTGAAAATCCAGCAGTTTTTTAACAAATTTTTAAACAAATATTTTATGTATATGTATTTTTTTAAGATTTTATTTATATATTTTCAGAGAGGGGAGAAGGGAGGGAGAAAGAGAGGGAGAGAAACATCGATGTGCAAGAGAAACATCAATCACTTGCCTCTCGCATGCCCCCAACTGGCCAGGGGCTTAGCCTGCAACCCAGGCATGTGCCCTGACTGGGAATTGAACCGGTGACCCTTTGGTTCACAGGCCAGTGCTCAGTCCACTGAGACTCACCAGCCAGGGCTTATGTATTTATTTTTAACTTTATTTTTAGAGAGGGGAAGGGAGAGAGAAAGAGAGGATGAGAAACATCAATGTGTGGTTGCCTCTCATGCGCCTCCTACTGGGGGCCTGGCCTGCAGCCCAAGCATGTGCCATAGACTGGGAATCAAACCTGTGACCCTTTTGTTTGCAGGCCAGCATTCAATCCACTGAGCCACACCAGCCAGGGCTCAAACAGTGTTATTACTACCAAAAGAAACACTGTCCCCTTAGCTACCACCCTTCATCCAGCCTCTCCCATTCCCAAATCCAAGACAATCTACTTTTTATTTCTATAAATTTGTCTATTCTGGATTACATTTCACATGAATGGAATCATTTAACTTGTACTTGTCCTTTTTGACGGGCTTAAAAAAATTTAGCAGAATGTTTTCAGGGTTCATCTATGTTTATAGGTTTGTCTGTTCTGGACATTTCATGTAAATGGGATCATAATATGTGGTCCTTTGTGCCTTGTTTTATTTAACTTACATAATGTTTTGAAGGTCGATCTGTGTTGTAGTATATCAAGATTTAATTTTTTTTTGCTAAATAATATTTTGTATCACAATTTATATTTCCATTTGTCAGCTGATGGACATTTGGGTTATTCTCCTCTATAGCTATTATAAATGATGCTGCTATGGACATTAATGTGAAAGTTTTTGTGTGGATATATATTTTTAGTTTTTTTAAGTATATTTTATTGATTATGTTATTGCCCTTGTCCCATTTTTTTCTCTTCTTTTTTCCCCTCTATCCTGCACAACCCCTCCCACCAGCATTCCACCTCCTTAGTTCATGTCCATGGGACGTATGTATAAGTTCTTTCGCTTCTGCATTTCCTATACTATTCTTAACGTCCCTTCCTGTGTATTTTGTATCTACCATTTATGCTTCTTATTCCTTGTACTTTTTCCCCCATTCTCGCTCTCCCCCTCACCACTGATAACACTCCATGTGATCTCCATTTCTGTGATTCTGTTCCTGTTCTAGCTGTTTGCTTAGTGTGTTTGCTTGTTTGTTTTTTTCAGGTTCAGTTGTTGATAGTTGTGAGTTTGTTTTCATTTTATTGCTCATGGTTTTGATCTTCTTTTTCTTAGATAAGTCCTGTTAACACTTCATATAAAAAGGGCTTGGTGATGATGAACTCCTTTCACTTGATGTTATCGGGAAGCACTTTATCTGCCCTCCCATTCTAAATGATAGCTTTACTAGATAGAGTAATCTTGGATGTAGGTCCTTGCCTTTCATGACTTTTAAGTACTTCTTTCCAGCACCTTCTTTCCTGTAAGGTTTCTTTTGAGAAATCAGCTGATAGTCCTATGGGAACTCCTGTGTAGGTAACTGTCTCCTTTTCTCTTGCTGCTTTTAAGATTCTCTCCTTATCTTTAACCTTGCTTGGGTAATGTAATTATGATGTGCCTTTGTGTGTGCTTCCTTGAGTCCAAATTCTTTGGGCCTCTCTGAGCTTCCTGGATTCCTGGAAGTCTGTTTCTTTCGTCAGATTGGGAAAGTTCTCCATTATTTGTTCAAATAAATTTTCAATTTCTTGCTCTTCCTCTTCTTCTGGCACCCCTATGATTTGGATGTTGGAACATTTATAGTTGTTCCAGAGGTTCCTAAGCCTTTCCTCATTTTATTGAATTCTTGTTTCTTCATTCTGTTCTGGTTGAATGTTTATTTGTTCTGCTCCAAATTGTTGATTCCTTCCCTTCACTGTTGGTTCCCTGTTTGTTTTTCTTTATTTTACTTTGCATAGCCTTCACTTTTTCCTCTATTTTGTGGCCATACTTGACCATTTCTGTGAGCATGCTGATTACCAGTGTTTTGAACCCTACATCTGATAGGTTGGCTATCTCTTTATTGCTTATTTGTATTTTTTCTGGAGTTTTGGTCTGTTTTTAATTTGGGCCATATTTCTTTGTTGGGGCGCTCCTGTTTTGTTGTAAGGAGTAGAGCCTTAGGTATTTACCAGGGTGGGGCAGCCCACATTGCTGCATTGTGGTGCTGTATGTGGGGGAGGGGTCAGAGAAGGAATAGTGCTCCTTGTTCAGCCCTCGCTGTCTTTCAGTTACTTCCTTTGCTACCCACAAGCAAATTGGGCCCTTGTGATGCTGATTCCCGGGAGGGTGGGTTTGTGTATGTTCTAGGATCCTGTGGGTCTCTCCAACGAGCTCTCTTGTGAGGCTGGGAGTTTCTCTCACCGCCATTCCCCTTACAGGTTTTTACAGCCAGAGGTTTTGAGGCTTTCTTTTTCCCCTTGCTGGAACCCTAGGCTGCGCAGTCTGTCTCACTCCCCTGTTGTTCCTCCCAGTTTATCCGTATGCAGATGTGGGACTGACCAGTCCACCAACTGCAGCCTCACCTTCCCGGTCCTCTAGCCACCATCTGGCCATGTGTCCTATCTGCTCTGGCTGCCCGTCTCCACCCCTCGTACCAGTCGGGGTGAATATTTCTTCTTCAACTCCTTGGCTGTTGGACTTCCATACAGTTTGGTTTTCTGGCAGTTCTGGTGGTTTTTTGTTTTTAAATTTGTTGTTATCTTTCTTTTGGTTGTGCAAAGAGACAAAAGCGTATTTACCTATGCCTCTGTCTTGGCTGGAAGTCTATTTCAGTTCTTTTAGGTATATATGATACGTAGAAGTGGATTTGCTATATCTATATTTAAGTTTTGAAAGAACTATGAGATTGTTGTCCACAGTGACTATGCCAAATTACATTCCCACCAGCAGTTTGTGAGTGCTCCAGTTTCTTCACATCCTTTCCTACACTTGTTAATGTGTCTTTTCGATTATAGCCAGTGTGTGACTAAAAATTATTTGTTCTCCGGGAGTCTGTGTCTGTTGCTCACTTTTTCCCTTGTCTCTCAGTCAATCTTATTTTGTTGAATACCAAGGTATTTTATGTTGAGTATCAGTGATAGCATAACAAATGTTATATAGATAATTTTGAAGAGGGAAATACTATCTTTCTCCAATGAGGATTTACTATTGCTTCTCATAGGCAGGTGGGCTAGGGATATATGAAATCTTAGATTATTGTAATCACAGACTAAGATGTTTGGAAACTTAGCCTGAGTTCAAAACAAACTTTCTGTTTTTAGACTTGTTTATAAGGTAGCCTATATGGGTTGGTATTAGTTTCCTCTTGTTGCTGTAACAAAGTTCCACAAAGTTAGTGGCATAAGGCAGCTTAAATTTATTCAACTATAGTTCTGGAGTTCAGAAATCTAAAATCAGTCTTATACAGCTAAACATAAGGTATTAGCAAGTCTGTGTCCTTATTGAGGTTCCAGGATAGAATCTGTTTCTTGCCTCTTCCACCTTCTGGGGGCTATGCGCATTTCTTGGCTCATAGTTCCACCACTCCATTCTCTGCTTCTGTGTTCAGATTATATTCTCTCCTAACTTTGATCCTCTTGTCTTCCTTTTATAAGGCGTTTTGGGATTAATATAATCCCAATATGTAATATAATCCCATGTATTTACTCCATCTCAAAATCCTTAACCAAAATCCTCAAAATCCAAAAGAGGGTACTCTAAAGAGCCTCATGGCTCTTACTACTCGTTAGGTCCTGAACTCCAAATTTTGTCTTCTCAGCTCCCATTTCTACTAAAATCACAGCTCAGTGTCTTAGCCTGTTCTCTACGCCCGTGCGTGTGTTTATGTCTGTGCGTGTGTGTGTGTGTGTGTGTGTGTGTGTGTGTGTGGTGCGAGGCAGCAGTATCAAATGCTGGACTTTCTTTTCTGATTGTTTTGTTTCTGTCACACAATTGTTTTTTTTAAAAAGAGTTTTAAAATTTATTTTTAGAGAGAGAGGGAGGGAAGGAGAAAGAGGGAGAGAAACATCAATCGGTTGCCTTTCTTGTGCCCCCAACTGGGAGCCTAGCCCACAACCTAGGCTTGTGCCCTGACTGGGAATCAAACTGGTGACCTTTTGGCTTGCAGGCGGATGCTCAATCCACTGAGCCACACCAATCAGGAAAACATTTTTACTTTTGATAACTGTGATTCCTTCAGACATATACTGTCTTTGGGTATTTTTGTCGAGCTCTTTTTCTTGTTCTTAGTGAGAAGGTTGATCCAAAACAACCTGGTCTTCCATTTAATGACTTTTTAAGAAAGCATTCAAGTATCAGTGCATTTTACTAAATCCTATAGCATTGTATGTTTCATTATCTTTATTTTACATTGTTTTTTGTTCTTTTTATTTTTAAAATATTTCATATTCCCTACTTCCTTTATTTGTTGTTTAATTTGAATGAGAAGTGGGCACTTAATAAATTTAACACACCTGTCCAAATACAATTTGGAATATGATTGGTAGAGTTTTTACTTACAGTGTTGCTCTCTTTCAGTATGAAGGCTTAGAGTCATTGAAGGATTCCAGCTTTGAAAAGGAGTCAACAAAAAGTCAAAATTTGGAGGTAAATATAAATAGTATAATTATAAAAGCTGGGGGATTATTCTTACTAGATAGCGTAAACTTTAAAAAGTAATGTATCTTCTCAAAACTATTTTAAAGGAAATGTAAAAGAGCATCTCTGGATGATAAACTTTAAAAAAGTTAAATATAGGAAATAGAACATTAGTAAGTAGTATAAAATATTTTAAATATTTGAGCTGTTGTTGCTAACTTATTTTGGGTGAGGTGTTCCGTTTACTGGAATCTAGGGCAATATATACTTTTATTCTTCATTCCTGGGAAATGTATTAGGGTGACTTTTTGTTTTTGACTTACTTTGCTCCAGAAACAAAAACATAGGATTACTTTTCATCAATTTAGGAATAGTTGGTAACAGTAAATTCTGTAAATTCTGTAAATTGTGGCAGTGCTTGCCTTTACTTCATCCCCAGCATATTAGCAGCTGACTAGAATTAAACCAGAGATTAGTACAAGCCGTGGTGTGCTGGTAAATACTGGGTTGGCCAAAAAGTTTGATTTTTTTCTAAGTGATGCCTTGAGTAGTGCTTTGTTATCTTTAACTTCATTCAAAACAATTTCGTTAAATCATATTGTGACAGCTGACATATCAGTGTGCATTTAAAATACTTATCAAAATCAGTGAATTTTTGTGCAGCTGTTCTAATATTGAAGATGGAAGAAAAATATACAACATTTCAGTATATTATGCTTTATTATTTCAAGAAAGGTAAAAACACAACTAAAATGCAAAGAAAGTTTTGTGGAGTTTATGGAGAAGGTGTTGTGACTGACTAAATGTGTCAAAAGTGGTTTGCGAAGTTTCTTGGAACTATTGACATTTTGGCCAAATAATTCTTTGCTGTGGGGCTGTCTTATGCATTGGAAGATGTTTAGCAGCACCCCTGGCCTCTATCCACGAGAAGTCAATTGTGGGAGATACCCGACTTACTCAAAACATCCAAGTCAATAAAGTTAATGGTGAAAATGAAAAATGTATTTTTTATTTTACAGAAAAATTGAATGGACTTTTTGGCCAACCCAGCATTTAACAACTGGCAAAACAGGGGCTGTTATTTGTAGCATTTGCTGAGTTCTATTGTGTAAGCACTTTGACCATGACTAGTTTTAAGATGTCAACATGGTATCACTGAATGTAGACTTTGAAAGAGATATGCGTAACTGGCCCCCTGGAGCCAGGTGTGACTTGGTTAACAGGAAGGAAAGAAAGTATCAATATTTGTTGCTTGGCTAAACTCTGACAGATTACCCTAGGTAATGGGAGTGCCTTACTACTGGTTTGAGGTGGAAGCGTTTTAAAATGCTCACTAATATTAAAGTAGAAAACAATAGATTTTCTACCTGTGGTGTATGGATTCAGTCAGTCCAGCTTTACAGTTCTCAATCACTGATGTCTGTAATCATCAGAAAGCCTATGTAGCATGATTCAGAATTTCTTGCTAGAGTCTAAAGTAAGTTAGAAATGGACCCAAATGAATTCTCAGTCTTTCTTCATTTGTTACCTATTAATATCCTTAAGAACTGTTAAAACTGTTATATTTTATTTGTTGACTCTTTTAACTGTTGTTCTAGTAATAACTTATTAGATCAATTAAAAAAATGTTTAAGGCATTTGGCATGCTCAAAGAGCAAAAAACTGAGGGTAAAAACGTTTTACTCAAGCTTGGTGAAATTATGGATAAAATAAAACACCAATTTAGTCTCATGACACTAAATTTACTTAAGCTAGCAGTAAGATCAGCTCCATTTTTCCTTTAAAATGAAAATCTTAGAAGTTTTCCTTTAGTTTTAGTAATTTTTTAAAATGTTTATTTTCAATATTGTTAAGTACAATATAGTAGAAACTAATATGATGCAACTTAAAAACTCTTAAAAACTTTGATGGTTGGACCAGTAGATAAAATGAAAATGATGTAGTAATTTTGATTCAAGTAAAAGAGAATTCACATCTGAAATAGCCAGAGTTGGAGAAATATATATAAATAAGTTTTTTTTAACTGCTATAATATAGTATGTACTTGTTCTCCTTTTATTTTGTCCTACATTAAATTCTTTGAATTTTTGGTTTATTTTTTTAACAAGTTTGTTGAAGGATCACAAATAACAGAGGTATATTTATTATAGTATTCAATATCCAATTGGAATAATCCAATAACTAATTAAATTCCAGAGGTCACAGAAATGTGTCTTGATTTAATGTAAATTATTATAAAACAAATTTGATTGGTTTTTGAATTTATTTTTTATTTTATTATACCTTTAATTTTATTAAATTGGATTTTTCTCTCATTTTGCTTTTATATTGCTTTAGAGCAGAGGTTGGCAAACTAGACTCTGGGCTTTCCACCTGTTTTTGTAAATAAAATTTTATTGGAACACAGCCATGCTCATTCATTCACATACTGTCTTTGCTTTCTCACTACGTAGCAGAGTTGAATAGTTGGGACAGAGACTGCATGGCCTGCAAACCTAAAATACTTATTTTCTGGATCTTTATAGGAAAAGTTTGCTGACCCCTGCTAGAATTGCAATTATTTCAGTGTTACAAAATGAACAAATATGTAAACTAAACTTAACTTACAATATATGTGTTTCATTATACTTAACTGATTTACCCTAACCAAAATTTCCTAGGTCTGTCTTACACAGTTGGTTTACTCTTTTAGGCAATCTGTGAAAAGCTGAACAGTTCCAAATCTGAATTTGAGGATGAAATACTCTTTCTAGAAAAAGAGTTAGAGGAAGAGAAATCTAAACATTCTGAACAAGATAAATTGGTAAGGCTTCTGTTTTAAGGAGACTGTAAGTAGAAGAAAGTTACTGCATTTTTAAAAAATATAATATTATTTAAAGCAGCAGTTTTCAATCTTTTTCCTCTCATGGCACATGTAAACTAAGTACTAAAATTCTGCAGCACACACAAAAATACATATTTTGCTGATCTGACAAAAAAATGTGTAATTCTGATTCATTCACACCAGACAACTATTGTTGTGTTGGCTGTTCAGTACCCATGTCTAAATAGTCAGATATTGCATATTGCAAAAATTCTTGCATCACACTGGTAGGAAATCACTGGTTTGAAGTGTTGTGTACACTGTAAAAAGGTTTAAAGAATACAGAAGGCTGTAAAGTGGGGAGTTAAAATTTTTGAATCCACTACCTCTTTTCATTTGCTAGAAGTTACCATTATGTTGAGTTTCTTGCAAATTTAAAAAAAATTTTTACTTACTCATTTTTAGAGCAGAGGGAGAAAGAGAGGGAAAGAAACACTCATGGTTGTTTCTCACATGCCCCTAACCCAGGACCTTGTCCGCAATCCAGGCATGTGTCCTGACCAGGAATTGAACCTATGATCCTTGATTGCAGGCCGGCACTCAATCCACTAAACCACACCAGCCAGGGCTTTGCATATTTTTATAGAAGTTTTCTATATGCACTATGAAAGTAGTTCACCTAAATAATTTAATTTGAATAATCATGTACATAGTGGATTTTATTTTATCACTCAAAAGGTATGTTAAGAACATTTTAACTTTATTTGTCATCCTATTTTAAAATCTCTCTTAAGGAATATTTTGATGTGTGTGAGATTATTTAGTAAGATATGATGTTAATGGACTTTTCTGGAGCCTATATAACTTAAATATGAAATATTAAAGATGATATAAAATACTATTATGTAACTTTCACATAAAATCCCTTTGAGCAAACGGCTCAGAAGGTTTCTTAATTTGAGCACTTAGCTTTTTGAGGAAAACTCGTTAGGTTAATGATATTTCTGATGTATATGGCACCTTGGAAACTAGAGGAGTTTAGTAAATATTTATTGATCGATGCTGTCGTTTCAGATGGTGGATATTTCAAAGAGGATACAGTCCTTAGAAGATGAATCAAAATCACTCAAATCACAAGTAGCTGAAGTAAGTTGTATTAGTCGAATGGGTTTGTTGCTTTTGAAAATCATTTTACTTTTACTATTTTATGATTCAAGACTAAGATATATTATTAGAATTTGAGATATAGGAGAGAGATATAGATATAGAGAGAGATCTCCTATTTCCCCGGAAAAGTTCATTTTTTTATTGGACAAGTATTTATTGAGCTATTGCTATGTACTGGTCACTGTTGAAAGTGTTTGACAGTTAACATCACTAGGCAAAATAGAGAAGCTCTCTTGGAGTTTAAATTTTGGTAAGAGAGAGGCAGATAAGAAAGTTAACTAAACTTGCTACATAGTACATAGAAGGGTACAAGAGTTTCTATCAGGGTCCGAAGTCACGCCGGCAAGTTAGTGTCAGGGCCACAAGTTAGTGTCAGGACCACGACTAGATCCTGATTCTTGGCCAGCCTTTTTTCTGCCACACTGTGATGCCTCTTCTGTTAATATGGCATGTTTTTGACTTTAATTCCATGTTTTAGGGAAGATGTGTAAAACAGAACTATTGTGTTAACCTAATTGTTACAAACTTGGTATGTTGTGTTTTACTTAGGCCAAAACAACCTTCAAAATATTTCAAATGAATGAAGAACGACTTAAGATAGCTATAAAAGATGCTTTGAGTGAAAATTCCCAACTTCAAGAAAGCCAGAAACAGGTTTGTATTGTAAAGGGACTCTTCAACTTATATTTATAAGTCTTCTGTGCGTATGATGACTGACCTATGCTAGGGGCAAGAAAAGGCTTTTCCCAGATATCACAAGAGTATATCCTTTTGTGTAGGATAAATTTAAATACATAAATAAGCATGATAAAATAATTTGAGTTTTCCTTTTTTTGGTGTTTGAATTTTAGCTTTCACAAGAAGTCGAAGAATGGAAAGAACAAGTGAGTGAACTTAATAAACAGAAAATAACATTTGAAGACTCCAAAGAAAATGCAAAACAAGTTCTATGTGATAAAGAAAAGCAGATCAAGGTAAATAGCCCTGCTGGTTTTAGTGACTGAATCAATTAGAATTTTATACGAATTCTGAAATTTGAAAATTTTTGTTTAAGCAGCTTTTATTTTTATCATTTGGCAAATTTCAGAATGTGTACCTTTTTTGGCATACATCCCAATTTGTACCAGTATTACCATCTTGTTGCCTAAGGCTCCTTTTTGGTAGCAAGGATAACAAAATACAGGGTCTGGCAGAAGTAACACCTGTTTAAGTAGGGTTGGTAGGGTAATAACATGGGTATAATAATTTATAGTTTTAATTTGAACATTTTATCTAAAATGTCATATGGTGTGCTTGAGTGTGATATTGTTGTGTTACAGAATTACATGCTTATGATTTTGTAATAAAAAAGTGGCATTATTGTGCTGGACCTTATAGATACTGTATTTTGCCATGTATAGTGAACACTTGTTTGCCCAAATTTTTGAGGGAAAAATAAGGATGTGCATTATACATGGGCAGTACTAATTCCATATTTATATAAACGTTTAAATTCTTGTATTTATGCTTATATGTTCAAAGTGTAACTCTGGAAAGCAATTAATGATATCCATATGCAAAATAATACCTTGAATATGATAATTGGTTTTGTTTCTAAATGTAACTACATAAAAAATTGAATTAAAAAATTGAAATGAAAGATTTTTTTACTGAAAGTTTGGGCCAAAAACTTGGGTGCACATTATACATGGCAAAATACAGTATATTTCAACATTTCGTTTGCCTTTCTCTCTCCTTATTTTAGCATAGATATTTACGAAGAAGAAAGAGAATAATGGATTTTACCTTTGTCTTTAGACTGTCATCTATTTCTGTTGATAAGAGGTTGGAAAGAATTTCAGAAATTGGACAGATGAAGTTATATGCATTGGCCGAATATCTTTAATACTTAGATTAGCTGGTTTACATACTTTCACAGAGAAGAATACTTTTAAAAAAATCTAATTGAAACATGTCTCTCTTTTCCACCCACATTTTCTGCCTACTCAAATCCTATGCATTCATACTGCAAACAGATACTCAGGTGTACTATCAAGTAATAAGAAACAAAACTAACATTCTGTAATCTACACAGTGAAGTGGATGTTACCTTCTTGAAAACTATACATAGGTTGCTACTAAGAATGTTTTCAAGATTCCATGTTTAGGAGTTGTATTCATAATTTGGTGTATTGTTTCCCGTAAATTTACTGAAGTACTTGGAATTCGTCCTAAACAAAACTTGAATGAGATGCTAATCTCTCACTCTACTCAAAGCGGTAGGACATGTTATTTGTCCTTGGAACTCTCAAGAGGAGAGGTGGACGTTGCAGGACAGAATGGGTTGTTAGATTGGTCCTTCCACAGAAATACATAGAACAGTCATTTTATTATCTATAGTGCTAGAAAATCTTTCTTTATTCAAGAAAATGCAAAAAGTACTATTAAAAAACCTTTGATGCTCCAATTCAGATTCTCTTTTATAATGTCTTTTTCTTTATGTTAGTGGAACTCCCAGCTAGTTGTTTACTTTATTAATAAATTGTATCTGTGAAATCTGATCCTTTCACATATCATGTACCTAACTTACAGATTTGTTTGACCTCATGCAAAATTTACTCTCTTATGTGTGGCATGTGAGATGTCATATAAGAAAATGTTACTTTATAGTCATATGATATATTTAGCAAAAATTGGTCATCAAGAATTGTATTTGATTTAGGAATAACCAGTTTTTATTTATAATGTTTAGAATTTAGCAGTCAATAAATGTTAGGTTTTTCACTGTATTTTGCTGTGTATAATGCACACGCTTTTACCTAAATTTTTGAGGGAAGAATAAGGATGGGCATTATATATGGGCAGTACTTATTCTGTATCTATATAAATGTTTTTAATTCTTTTATTTATGCTTATGCATTAAAATGTAACTCTAGAAAATAATAACAATATCTGTATGCAAACTATTATCCTGGAATATGATAATCAGTTTTGTTTCTAAATATAAATAAATAAAAAATTGAATTAAAATATTAAAATGAAAGATATTTTTCCTGAGTTTGGGTGAAAAACATGGGTGCGCATTATTCATGGCAAAATATGGTATTTATATATCTAATACCAGGTGGAGAATAAAAAGCTCATATACTGTTATTTATGTGCATTGATTTTTAAACTGTAAGTATACATTCAGAAGTTGTAAACCATTAGCATGAAGCATCACCCTCTCTTTTTTTCCTCCCTTTGCTAAAATGTCAAGTCTCTGACTGAACGCTTGCTAAAGATGCAAAATTGGGCTGCTGTGCTTGGAGAAGACTTAACGGGTGATAACTTGGAATTGGAAGTGAAGAGTGATTCAGAAAATGGTGCACTCTTAGGTATTAAATGACATATCCTCTTTTTAGAAATGATGACTAGCTCTTGTATTTCCTTATAGTTCCCCTTGTGTACCATGTTCTTTATACACTTGTGCTTTGGTCCACCTTGTCCATCTTTCTCTAATACTCTGTCCCTTTCTCACCATCCCTTGTAAGTTAACCTTTAGCTAGAATACTGGCTTTTCACTAAATTGAACGCCTCAGGATACATTTCTTTTTGTGCTTTATTTAGATAATTCAGATGGTTAAAGTACTTTAATCTTGGCCATCCCAAATTGTTATTGCTGTTGTTGGTTGCAGTCTGTAAACTCAGGAAAAAGGTTCACTACAGCTACCCACTGTATTCTCAACTAATTCCTTACATTTTGACTTACATTTTTTTTTGCTATAATTATAGATTCATAGGAAGTTGCAGAAGGGTACAGAGAGGGATTTTTTTTTTGAGGAAATTTTTATACTTTTAATTATTTCATAATTTAATTACATACTTAGGAAGCAATATGGTTACACACAGGATTACTTGAAAAATGAGGTATATGTGGACTTTTCATTCCTTGTGACTTTTTATTGTTTTCTGTTGTTTTTTAATACATTAAATTTGTTTCTAATAGGCTATTTTTTGAAGCAGTTTTAGATTGTCAGTAATATTGAGCAGAAGGTGAAGAGATTTCCCATTAACCCCTGTCAACACATGTAAAGAGCTTCCTCCATTATTAGCATCCCCCACCAAAGTGGTACATTTATTATAATTGATGAATCTACATTGACATCATTACTATCCAAAGTCCATGCTTTACATTAGGGTTATGCTAGATGTTATTCACTCTAAGTAATTTTTATTGTACTTTTATAGAAATGTTGCAAAAGTAATATAAGGAATATAAGGATATATAAATATATACCTTTCTCCATCTTTCTCAACTATTTGCATTTTGTGCATTGGATTTAGCATTCCTGTCTTTCTCAAATCACTTGAAAGTTGGGAACATCATTTCCCATTAACTCCTAAAATCTAAACATTTTTTTTACATAATTACCTAACTACTATACAAATATAAAAGTTATCAAATTTAACAATGATGCAGTACTATCTGATTCATGGGTTTTTCTCAGAGAGATCTTGTATATCATCAGCTAGTTCCCCCTAATGATAGTTCTTTTGACTTTTGTACCCTCTTTGCTCTCCCTTCACACCTGTATAAAGAACATGTTTTTTAAGGAGAATATATGATTTTTTTAAAAAGCATTTCTGCCCTGGCTGGTGTGGCTCAGTGGATTGAGTGCCAGACGGTGAAGCAAAGGGTTGCCAGTTTGATTCCCAGTCATGGCACGTGCCTGGGTTGCAGGCCAGGTTCCTGGTGTGGGGTGCGAGAGGCAACTACACATTTGTTTCTCTCCCTCTCTGTCTCCCTCCCTTCCTCGCTCTCTAAAAATAAATAAATAAAATCTTTTAAAAAATACCATATTAAAAAAGCATTTCTTTGATGATAGCATTAATGCATTGGAGGAAAATTACATTTCCAAAGTAAATGCATACTATTTGCACTTTTGTTCTGTTTGTACTTTTTCACTTCTTCATTTTGTAAGAAATAATTCTTTTTCTCATGAGAAAAGTCATGCTTGTTTTAAGGTTATTTTAATTTGGAGTATAATTTGACTCCTATTTTGTATGGTGAAGGAATCCAAGAACAGTCAAGACTGTGGGACTGTATTTAGGTGAATACTAAATCCTTGTTGTAATTCTGTTCTTGGGATTAATGGTGAAGAGCCTTGTTAATTGATATTATGGTTCTACCAGTGCTTTTATTGTATAACTTTCTGGGAGCAGGTTCAAGGCCATTCTGCCTTATATCAAATTCATTACTGTAGCAAGAAGAAGGATTATAAGGCTCTATCTAGTTGAGTGAATTAGATGTCTCTTGTGGCATTGCAGTTTCTTTCCTAATTTATTGTAATGTTCTTGTTTTTTATAATAGATAATCAGCCAAAAGGAGCTTTGAAGAAGCTGATTCATGCTGCTAAGGTTTGCATTACTACATAAATATGAAAAAAGTAAAGAAGTAGAACGTGGATTAAACCCATATGACTTTAGTAGTTATTTAAAAAGTCCACTTTATAGTTATCATATAAGTGATCAGTATTTTTAGTAGTGATCAGAATTATCTTCATCAATTGTTTTTTTTTTCTTTTTATAACTTCAGAAATTCACATTGTTAATTTTTAGAATTTATCATAAAAATTTTTAAGGTCTGCATTCATTTCTTTTGGATAAGGAATATGTTAAAAATGTTTACTCTATTTTCTCTCATAATTCTCTCTTTGAGCATTTTTCTTCCTCTGATCTCAGTATTTTCCTGTCTCTATTGCCTAATAGCCTATCTTGAGAAATAAATACTAGGTTCATTTTCTTCTGGTTTGTTCCTTCTCTTTTCCATCCTAGTTGTGGTATCCTAATCTTTACTGATCTGTGAGAAAACTTGGTAATGTAATTTGAAGACTACTTTAATCAAAACCTATGTGTTGGAAGTAAACGATGAAAATAACCACAATTTAAGCGTCTATCACTGATCTTTTCCATCTCTGTTCTGAAATTTACAACTATTGATGACGTTGCTAACTTTCTAAGATGAAAGCTATATTGTTAATTTGTACATTCTAGGCAATAATTTCATCAAAGTGATAACAGAGCTTCAAAGTTGAGATGGTATATTGAGATTTTTTTTTTGATTAATGTTACTTTTTTCCCTCTCTCATTCTTTGAAGTTAAAGGCTTCTTTAAAAACTCTAGAAGGAGAAAGAAACCAAATATATACTCAATTAACTGAAGTAGATAAAACAAAGGAAGACCTTACAGGTAGGTAATCTACACACTTTTAAAGTTTTTTGAGCCCTGGCTGGGTGGTTCAGTTGGTTGGAACAGCATCACATAAACCAAAGTGTAAGGGGTTCGATTTCCTGTCAAGGTACATACCTAGGTTTTGGGGTTCAGTCCCTCGTTGGAGTGGGAATGGGAGGCCACAGATTGATGTTTCTCTTTCACACTAATATTTCTCTCTCTCTCCTTTCCCCTTTTTCTAAAATCAGTAAACATATCCTTGGGTGAAGATTAAAATTTATCTAAATAAATACATCTCCTTATAGTGAATGGTACCATGAATTGAAGCAGTTACTGGACGATCCGATTTGATATTTTTTAAAATTTAGTTTCTTATTTGTAAAAAATTAGTCCTGAGTTGTTTGTTGTTGTTGGTAAGAACTTGTCAGTTTTCTCCATATTTATATGAAATTAAAGTAATGAAATTATTTTAAAAAACATGTTAAGACCATACTTATTTCAGTATTATATGCATGTATGGTTTGTGATATTAAATAGTAGCAAATTAAAATTGCTAAGTTTTCAAAATCTTTGTTAATTGCAAAATTGACCTTCAGTAGTTGTATATTTTACCGATCTGTTTACAATATAGTTGTCTTTTTTAATGTACATGCATAGTATATTAGCACATGCAGGAATGATATTAGACCTGTAGAACAGAATTTTTTTTCATTGAAACTTTTTTATTTATTTTTATGATATAGTTGATATAAGTAACATCCCATTGTGTTTAAAAAAAAAAAAAAAAAAGGAGCTCTGGCTGGTGTGGCTCAATGGATTCAGCATGGGCCTGTGAACCGAAGGATCGCCCGTTCAGTTCCCAGGCAGGAACAGGAACATGCCTTGGATGCAGGCTAGGTCCCTAATTGGGGCCATGCAGTCAATGTTTTTCTCTCTCTCTTTTTCCCTCCCTTCGCCTCTCTCTAAAAATAAATAAAATCTTAAGAAAAAAGGAATGTCACTATAACCATTTATATAAAGAAGGATGAAAGGACATACTCAAATGTCAACAATGATTATCTTTGAATAAGGGATTATGGATAGATTTCTTTTTACTTATCTATATTTTCAAAAATTTCTAAAAAAGTGAGCTGTATTTATAATGAAGCATTTTTTTGTAAATGTTGAACAACCAAAGATACTGATTATTAAAGAAACGATCATAGTCTTTTTCAAATAGTATGGGTAATTAGATTATTTTTAGATTTTGAAAAATAATATTAACTGAGAAATAAAGTGTTGCTATATGTAATACATAATACTCAAAGCCATGGGAGAGCCACTGGAGGAAAAGATAGGGAGTGGAGCCTGCTTTCAAGGAAGGTGCATTTTAGTATGTGAACTAAATACGGAGCCTGCTTTCAAGGAAGGTGCATTTTAGTATGTGAACTAAATATTCAGAAAGTACCACAATACCAAGGAACTTGCTCAGCAGTTACTCCATCCCTTTAATACAATTGCTTGGCAAATCTTTATTATGTTCTAAAATTAATAGTCGGAGACTATGTCTGCCTGTACCCTCCTTCCAAATCTAACTTTCTTGTTTTAATGGATCATGAAAGAGAAATTCCTACAACTGATTTTTTCTATTCATAACATGGAAATTTTCCTTTAAACTGCTTTCCTTCTGATGATTGCTTACAGTGCTATTTTAAGAGACAGAGGAAACAAAATAGTTACAATTACAAAGATATAATGAAGATTTAATTGTTGGTTTATTATGTTTTTTTAAATAGTGATGATCTAATTTTAATATAGGTAATATTGAATGTTAATGTCTATAAAGTGACTGTTCCTGGCAGTGGCTTACAGCTTAAGTCAACAGGTGTACATTTTAATATAACTTACAGATTTTCTGTTCTTGGAAAGAATTTAGTTTATTAATAATTTATTATTGTTAATTATATTTTATTGATTATGCTATTATAGTTGTCCCAGTTTTTCCACATTTGCCCCTTTCTACCCCAGTACCAGCTACTCCTTAGGAAATCCCCACACCATTGTTCCATAATTTATTATTATTAGTAATTCTTATCTCTATGAAATGTTAATATGTAACTCAAAATTTTTATTCCTTTAATTGTGACTTTTAAAATTTTTCTATAGAGTGTATTAAAAATCTCCAGACTGAACAAGCATCTTTGCAGCCAGAAAATGATCATCTTGAAAGTGAGAATCAAAAGCTTCAGCACAAACTTAAAGTCATGACTGAACTGTATCAAGAAAATGAAATGATACTTCATAGGTAATAAAATTTATGTTGATACCTCTACTGAATAGCAAGTAAAATAGCTTAAAATGTTGTATATAAAGTTTATGTGATTATCTAAAGTTCTCAGTTTATGATTGAGTTATATTTCATATACTCATTGTTTTAAAATTTTTTATCTTAGAGAGAGAGGAAGGGAGAGAGAAAGAGAGGATGAGAACTTCGATGTAAGAGAGAAACATCAATTGGTTGCTTTCTGTATGCTCCCCAGGGGTCGGAACCTGTAACCCAGGCATGTGTCCTGGCGGGGAAGCAAACCTGCAACCTTTTGATTTGCAGGATGCTGCCCAGCCAACTATACCACATCAGTTGGGTTCTTCAATTCATTTTTAAAGAAGGTTATTTGATCTTGAAATACTTTTTCTTCAAGGAATAAAATGCTCTAAATGATATTGGACCTTGCAAACTAGTTCTCAACATCCTTTTTAACTTCTTATAGATAACCAGAAAATTATTGCTAATTAAAATTCCTAATATTGCAAGCTAGGTCAGGGAATCTTGGTGGACATCATAATAATTGCACTCTACCCGTTAACTCCATCTCTGATACATGTAAAACTGATTCCTTGCTCCTGTGTAAATTTCTCCCGCCAAACTGTTCCTTGTCTCAGTAAATGGTAGTGTTATTTGCTGAGTTGCTCATGGCAGCTGATCAAGCCCTCCTTGACTTCTTTCTTTTACATCTCATATTCATACTCTCTTCAAATTCTATCAGCTTTCCTGTATCCTGAATCTGACTACTCTTACCACCTCTTATACTACTCTGATCCAAGCGATATGTTAGGATCTGGTTTGTTGCAGTAGCATCATGAGTGGTATCTCTTTTAATACTCTTAACTTCCTGCTCTGATTTTAGCAGCAAGACCCTTCTAAAAGAGATAATGGGTATTGTAACTCTCTTGCTTAGAACCTTCAGGGGACTTCGTATCACACTCAGAATTTAATCCAAAGCTTTATCATGATCTATGAGCTCTGGCCCCTGGTTACCTCTTTAATTTCAGCTTATTTATTTTCTTTTTCTCTCACTATATTATAGCCATGCTGGCCTTCATGCTCTTAGCATGCTAAGCACATTTGTACATCAAGGCCTTTTGAGATGAAAGAAATACTTTTGAGTACATCTTTTGAGCAAAAATGTGATTGAGTATCTTGTAGAATTTTAATGAGTAATGTTTAAGATTTCAAAGAAAAATTTCTGTGATACTCAAAGCAAGAATGGGAAGCTGAATAAAATCCTAGCTGTAAGTTTGTTGTTCACATTGTGATTTCATTCATTCATTAGTTTGAAATGCTTTCTTTTTATCTTCACCTGCAGACATGCTTATTGATTTTAGAGAGAGGGGAAAGGAGAGAGATAGAGGGAGAGAAACACTGATGCAATAGAGGAACATAGATTGGTTGTCCGTTGTATGCACCCCGACCAGGGACTGAACCTGCAACCCAGGCATGTGCCCTTACTGGGAATTGAGCCTGTGACCTTTTGGTTTATGGGACTGTGCTCCAACCAACTGAGCCACACAGTCAAGGGTCTTTGAATTCTCAAAATATTTCACATTCCATTCTTACATTTAAATTAAAATATTCAGTACTCAAATTCAATGTGTTATGACACCAGTTGTTCTTCAGAGTCAATACAGAGTTGACAGTACTAATAAAATGTTAAATTAAATTTTTTGCCTGCATACAGTGTGATTTTTGAGGAGGTGAGCTGTGTTCACCTACACCACCAACTTGACTGGAAGTCCAACAGTGTGGTTTAGATTCAGTCATTTTCTAGATGCTGGATTGATGTATTTTACTGCTGATATATATTACATTACTAGCTCTTTTCCAAATTTAATATTGAAGAGAAGTGAAAGAGTATAGAAGCTTGCTATGTTTCTTTAAATATGTAAGATGTGATTGTTTTTTAGTTATAAACTTGGGTTTCCTTTCCCAGTGTAATTTTCATTATTAATAAGGCTACCCAAATTCAAGGGTAAGGTTCATAGACTACTTCTCAGTGGGAATTTCTGTCCATTTTTAATCTGCAGTCTATAAAAACACTTTTCTTCCCTCTTTAAACCAGTTACACTTTTATGCTTTTCCTAAGGCAGTGACTTTTCTTATAATACCTATGAAATAATTGACCTGGGGGTTGCTTCTTAATAAGCAATGGTAATGTAGTGTGTAGCATAGAAAACATTTACGGCTGCCTTGTAGAATTTCTTCAGTTGTTGATCATGTTTATTCCCAAAGTTCATGAAGAAGGGGAGACATCCATAGTTAGGACTCCAAAAGTGTTTTCCTGTGATGTTCAGTATTTCTTGAGGTTTATTAATGATACCATATGAAACAACTTGAGGAATATAATATAATGGAGTCACGGCTTGTTAGCTCTATGTTTTGGTTCAGTTATTTAGTTTCTCTGTGCTTCATTTTTTTTTTTTAATAGCTACCAAATAGAGTTGTTGTTATAATTAAATAAAATAATACATGTAAATGTCTAAGAACAGTTTCTGGCACATACTAATGGCATAATAAGTTACGTATTATTAAAAACAACTAAACTAGTAAGCGGAACTACTATTACTTTCATGTACTTTTGGTTCTTTTTTTTGTGAGCTGGCTGGAAGACTAATCACTATTTTACAACTTAACAATCAACTTAAAAATTATTGAAACAATTCATTAGTTTCATCTTGTGACTTCTTGCCTAATAAATGTAATGCTTCTTTATATAAGAAGTCATGATAAATATAATAATTTTACTAACATTTACTATGATAATCTTATTTTTATGATGAATTCTTACAGAAAACTCTTGAAACTTTTTATTAGTAGTACTGTTATTCGACAAGATGCTTTATAACTTGAATTTATAATAAATTTCATGCTAGGAATATTTACGCAAGTACTTTGTTTTTCTTGCATGTGATGTTTTTTAGTGGGATTGTACAAATTGCTTTATGGAAAGCATCAGTTGTAATATAAAGTGATATAATTGATTGTTTTATGACATAAAGTGAAAAAAATAAAACATTTTTGTTTTAAGGAAATTAACAGTAGAAGAAAATTACCGGTTAGAGAAAGAGGAAAAACTTTCTAAAGCAGATGAAAAGATCAGCCATGCAGCTGAAGAGCTGGAGACCTATAGGTAGGTATTAAATATATTTTACACCTTTCTTTTTTAGGTGGGGAAGGTATCCAGAAGCCCAATACCAGAAAAAATAATATAGCAATAACAACAACAAATAAACCAATGTATTTTTGTTTCATTATTTTCATTTAGATGTCTTGCTATTATACAACTATGTAGAAATTATAAAAAGGAAAAATGGTTTTTTCTTTCAGTCTATCAGATTTTATTTTATTTTTTTGTTTTTTTTAATCCTCACCTGAGGATGTTTATTGATTTTAGTGAGAGGAAGGGGGAGAAAGAGAGGGAGGGAGGGAGAGAGGGAAGGAAGGAGGAGAGGAGATAGAGAGAGAGAGAGAGAGAGAGAGAGAGAGAGAGATTGGTTGCTTTCCATACATGTCCTGACCTGGGAGTGAACCCACAACCTAGGCATGTGCCCTGACCGGGAAGTGAACCCACAGCCTTTTTGGTGTATGATACGATGCTCCAACCAACTGAGCCATCCAGCCAGGGCAGTATGTGAGATTTTTAATGAACTTAAGAACTATGCCGCAGAAAGAAGACTGAGCCACAGTTAAAGTTTGGAAGAAATATTAGTAAGATGATAGGTCTATCAGCAGTATGCCAAATAGTTGTGATACTTACATTTTACATTACGAAGTATATGCCTGAGTTTTATTGGAAAGAAGGAATTATCTTGTTAGTCTTATAAAGGTAACAAGTAACATTTTATTTTGCCCAGGTCATTCATTTCCTAGAATCCTTTTAAGATTACAGACATTTAAATCAGTCTTCCAAGATCATACTTCTTAAAAATAAAAATGAACCAGTGTACCATGTAAATCTTTGCATGGCCTTTGGTTTGGGGTAAACCCAAATAACGGTACTTTTAAAGCTTTATTTTAAAATGGTATCAGGAAAAATTATACTTTAGAATCTCTTAAAGGTAATTAACATATGGAGTTCTGAACTTTTTTTTTTACATGAAACGAAGCATTCTAGATGCTTTCATTAATATTTTCAGTAGAGAGAGTGTGTTTTATCATTTTGTAGGATATGTTGATAATAGAATGATTATTTCTTTCCTGTAGAAAACGAACCAAAGATCTTGAAGAGGAGTTGGAGAGAACGATTCATTCTTACCAAGGACAGGTGTGTGTTTATGTGTGTGTGTATGTGTAAGTTAAAACAATTTTCATTTGTTTGAATTGGTATCTGTTTTGATGAAGGAATGTTGTTACTTGGCTAGTTGTATACCTTTCTTGAGGTTTTGTATGTGGTTGTGGGGCATTTCTAGGGAACCAGAAATACTGGAATAAGACATCTTAAAGTTGCCATATCTTCTATACACAGGGTGGGGCAAAAGTAGGTTTACAGTTTGTATGGAAAAAGAGATGCAAGTTATAATGATTACAACAGCTTCATTAACTCTGTGTTTTTTAAAAATTTTATTTTTATTTTTGATATTTTTTTTAGAGGGGAAGGGAGGGAGAAGAAGAGGGAAACATTGATGACATCAATGAGAGACAAACATCAGTTGGCTACCTTCCGTATGCACCCCAACGGGGGGACTGAACCTGCAACCCAGGCATGTGCCCTCACCGGAAGTTGAACTGGTGACCTTTCAGTTTGCAGGACAATGCCCAACCAGCTGAGCCACATGAGCTGGGGCTTAATTCTGTGTTTTGCATACTCACAACTGTAAACCTACTTTTGCTTCATCTTGTGTATCAGCATTGGGGTCTTATATTCAGTTCAGCTAGTGTCTCTTAATTAGCGACTCATATTATAGTTGATTATTGCACAAAATAGAAATTTACTGGACAAAAAGTTTAGTTGTCTTTACATTCAGTTTTGTTTAAAAGTATTATGAGTAGGTCAGATGTATATGAAAATTTGCTTTAAAATGTTACTTTTCAGAGATGCTTGAGTTATTTTTTTTAAGATTTTATTTATTTATTTTAGACTGAGGGGAAGGGAAGGAGAAAGAGAGGGAGAGAAACATCATTGTGTGGTTGCCTCTTGCGTCACCCCCTACCGGGGGCCTGACCTGGCCTGCAGTGCAGGGATGTGCACTGACTGGGAATTGAACCCGTGACCCTTTGGTTCGCAGGCCAGTGTATAATCTACTGAGCCACACCAGCCAGGGCTATTTTTGAGTTTATGAATTGTGTATTAAATCATAGTGGTAGATATGAATGTTTCTTATGTAAGAAAAGTAGTTACAAGTAATGTTGTAATGATTTTCTTTTTCAGATTATTTCTCATGAGAAAAAAGCACATGATAATTGGGTAAGTTCAATTCTCTTAGGTTCTTTATCAAATTGTTCTTTTTCCTAATTTAAAAGAGAAGTGTAAAAGGTACCAAAAATAAAGGTAGTATTTTAAAAAATCATTTTCTTTTACTGTGTTGCTTATGATCAAAATACTTTGTTATGGTGCAGTTATTCACAAAATCTGATTTTTTCCTTCTCTACTTTGAACACACCGCTTCTTTGCATGGAGTGTATACTCTCCCTGGGCAAGGTGATGTAATCTGCATAGCTTCATTGTTTCAGGACACTGGGTTGCCACTAATAATGTGGACAAATTACCTAACATTTCTGGGTCAGTTTACTCATCTGTAAAACAATGTTATCAGATTAAGTGATATCTAAAACCTTTCCTAGTTCTGATAGCCTAAAACTTCTAGTATATGATTCTCAGTGTTGAATTACTTGATACACATTAAGAAAAAATCCATGATGAGAAATGTCATGTCAGTCCTCCAGAGGAACTGTGTGAGGAAATCCTAAGTATGAAGATTTGACTAATTATAAGCACGGCCCCTCTAACATACAGAATTGTTGTAAGAGCCAGCCTTTGGAGTACTTGTCCCTTGGAGTCTTCAAGGGGAGGAAGTTTGCACAGTGGGTGAATACATGGGGTTTGGACTCATCCTGTCTTGTTGGTATCCTGGTTCCCTCACCTACTGCCATTATCCTTACCTGTAAGATATAGATATCATTAATACCTATTTTAGAATTATTGTAATGATAAAATTAGATAATTCATTAAGGCTGTTAGTCATGTGCCTGACACATAATAAGTACTTAGTAAACATTAACTGTTATCATCACCATTGTTATACTGAAGCTTGGGAGATATTTTTTAGACATGGAAGTTTCTTGGAGTGGCAATTCCTGCTTAATGGGTGGGAAATTAGTTATGTTGAATGTTTTTTCTTTTTTCTTTTTGGTTTGTTTGTTCAAGTATAGTTGTCTCCATTTTCCCACTACCACTTTCTCCTGCCACACCCACATCCACCTCTCACCCTCAGTTCTACTCCCCTTTGGATTTGTCCATGGGTCGTTTATACTGTCCCTTGACAACCCTTTCCCTTCTTTCCCCGCACTGTCAGTTTTTTCTTTCAGTGTTACTAGTTATATTTAGCCTGCTTGTTTGTTTTGTTGATTAGGTTCCACTTATAGGTGAGATCATATGGTATGTGTCTTTCACCCTTTGGCTTATTTCAGTTAGCATAATGCTCTCCAGTTCCATCCATGCTATCGCGAAGGGTAGTAGCTCTTTCTTTCGGCTGCTTAATATTCCATTGTGTAAACGTACCATAGTTTTTTGATCCACTTACTTATTGATGGGCACTTAGGTTGCTTCCTAAGTTGCTTCCACTTGGCTATTGTAAATTGTGCTGCTATGAACATTGGGGTGCATAGGTACTTTCGAATTGGTGTTTCAGGATTCCTAGGGTATAATGCCAGCAGTGGAATTGCTGGGTCAAAAGGCATTTCCATTTTTAGCTCTCAGAGGAAATTCCAAACTGTTTTCCACAGTACCTGTGCCAGTCTGCATTCCCACCAACAGTGTACTAGGGTTCCCTTTTCTCCACAACCTCATTAGCACTTGTTGTTTGTTGATTTGTTTATGCTGATCATTCTGACTGGTGTGAAATGGTATCTCACTGTGGGTTTAATTTGCATTTCTCTGATGGCTAGTGATGCTGGGCATCCTTTCATACGTCTCTGGGCCCTGTGTATGTCCTCCTTGAAGAAGTGTATATGTTCAGGTCCTTTGCCCATTTTTCATTTGGATTGTATGTCTTCCTGGAGAGGACTTGTGTGACTTCTTTATTCTGGAGATCAAACCCTTTTCTGAGGTATCATTAGCAAATATATTTTCACATACGGTTGGCTCCATTTTCATTTTGCTGATGTTTCCTTTATCTGTACAGAAACTTTTTATTTTGATAAACTCCCATTTGTTTATTCTTTCCTTTACGTCCCTTGCTCTAGGGGACATATTGGTGAGAATATTGCCATGTGGAATATCTGAGTTTCCTGCCTATGTTCTCCTCTCAGACTTTTATGATGTCCCAACTTACATTTAAGTCTTCTATCCATTTTGAGTTTATATTTGTGTGTAGTTTAAGTTGGTTGTAGAGTTTCTTTTTTTTGCATGTAGCTGTCCAGCTCTCCCAACAGCATTTGTTGAAGAGGCTATTTTTACTCCATTTTATGCATCTGCCCCCTTTGTTGAATATTAACTGACCATAGGGATATAGTCAATTATAGTTAAAGTCAATTCTCATGTGTAGTTCACAATTTTAAGTGAAGACACTTGATGGTGAAGGTTTTTTATTTGTAAAAAATTATGGTTATAGACTGAGTTAATTTACCTACCTTTGTATGATAGATACATTTACCCTAGGATTGGATTAATTCGGCAGGTGTGATATTCCACATACTGTGGCCTCTCATCTGGAGAATCTGCAGTATGAGTGGGAAACATACAGTAATCCATTCAAGTTTAACATTTGACCACAACTATTTGGGAATAGTACAAGTTCTTCTATTTATTATGTGTAGCTTTGTTTTTTACAATATAAATTCTGATTTTCTAACCTTTTATTAAGTAAAAGCATCACTAAACAAATGTGAAAGACTGTGAGAATATTATATGTACAGTGCTGTGCACTTAGTAGATATGCAGTATGCTGTGATTGTATTCAGCCATTATAACAGTATGGCCTATACCAGTATGCTATGAAACTATTTTAGACCTTTATGGTTTCACACAATTGTAGTGATTTTTTTCCAGAGATGCTTACCTTGTTCCATAGCCAATGCTGCCCTGCATAATGATCCTGAATCTCCATTCCCATCACCCTCAGCTTGGGGCGTATTGAATTGCTAATCCTTCACTTTATATCTAGGTAACAGCATTTATCAGCAAGTACATGATGGAGCTGCAGCCTTAGGCTCATGGCTTCTGGTTATGTGAAACTCATTCCTTTTTAAAATTATTTTGGAAATTAAAACTTTTAATGTTGAATTTACTGAAATAGATACTTAAGTGATTGTGACAATTGTATGATATTTGTATGCCATCACTGAGATATTTATATAATATATTTTTCCTGTTGTTTGTATAAACATATTTTTAACATGTGTTGTTTTATTTAAGTTGGCAGCTCGGACTGCTGAAAGAAACCTCAATGATTTAAAGAAAGAGAATTCTTACCTCAGACAGAAGTAAGTATCTTGGTGAGAGTACTTTAAAACTTTATTCTTAGTTGTTATTTTATTAATTAGTTAATACTTTTGTAAGGATAAACAGAAAACTTGCAGTGAACTCAGCATATCTAATGGTGAAATTTATTAGTTTTACTAGGAGTTACTGAATTTTTGTTTGAAACATTTCTTAGGTCCCTCACAGAGAAAGAAACTGTTCACGGCCTCTTTTATAAAATGGTGTAACAGAACTTAAACAGGGTAGGTAGAGGGAGAATAAATGGAACGGAAAGAGAAAGCATGACTTTCTATGAGATAGTAATGCTCAGAGTATCAATCAGCATCTTTTAATGGATACATGGATGGAATAAATGTTTATTATTTTTCTTATTCCTTGGTTTTAATGTATTGGGTGGCATTACTTTACAATACAGAAATGGAAATGAGAATAAAAATGTACATTGTACAATCAAAGGTAAATGTTTTTCTTTGAGAATTGTAACAGTCTTCCCAGAGTGTTACAGTTTCTTGCCAGAGGTACTATTAACATTTTCCAATATTAGTTTTAGTCTTCTTGCTTGCCTTTTCCACTCAGAAATTAAAACCAAATGAATAAATGTTTTATTTCAGGTCTGATTGTTAAGAAGTAAAAGTAGGATTCTTTTAAAATGTCACAATTCTAAGATAAAGAATCTAGGAGTAAAAGAATAGGATGAGTTAATTGAATTCCACTTTTATGTTGTTTGGAATCCTGTCGGTAACATTACAGTGGAAAGTGTTGAGGCCTCAAAGCCAGGACGCCCTTTGTTTAAATTCTAGCAATTTCATGTTGTATAAATCATTCAAACGTTCATCCTCAGTTTCGTTAGTTGAAAAAGGGTAGTCTTTTAAAAAAATTTTAAAAATCTGAAAAAAATTTTAAGTAGTTCACTTTTTATTGTAGTTTTTCTATTACTGTTTGAAAAACAGTCATCTTGAACTGGTTGACCCTAGAGGACCCTTTTCTAAAATTTGGGTTTTGTGATACTGTACTTTCTCCATAATCTGATTTTGAGGAAAAAGCAAAAAAATTTCAAACCTCAGCAAAACATCATTATCACTTGGCCCAAAAACCTTTTACCCCAAAATAGTAGTGGGAGATATATAAAGGTATTTTGGTCAAAATAATTTTAAAAGATCTGTTTCTTATATGTATATATCGATAAAGTGAAGAGTAGCTTATATTTGATAGTGGCATTTTTCTTGAAATGTGCATGCTTGGATGTGTAACTCAGAGATGTTTGTTCTTTATTTGCAGATTTACTGAAACAGAACTTAAATTTGAACTTTTAGAAAAAGATCCTTATGCACTTGATGTTCCAAATACAGCATTTGGCAGAGGTAGTTTTTTTTTTAACCCCTTATTTAAAAATACATATACATTTATATATATATATATATATATATAATACACATAATTATATTAGTATAAATTTAATACTATTATTTATAAATATTTTAGGTTTTGGAACTAGGGTTCTAATCTAAGTTCTTGCACAATTTCCCAAGTTTCTGAGTTTTGTTTTCCTAGCAATAATATAAATACTTGCTGCTTCTCTTTCTCAGTGGGATTTTATACAATGATATATTTTTAGTTCCTTGAGCTCTTTGAAAAGCAAAGCGCAGTACTCATTAATTATTTTTGCGAGAATGAATGGGTAAGGATTGCTTAAGTAAAATAGCATTGCGACTGTTTACATATTAACTACTTTTTGATATTTGTGTGAATTATAAAAATGAGAATTAAAACAGTTTTTAATTACTTAAAATATTAATTAAAAGGTGGGAAAACTTGGGTAATCTGAATTTTGATTGCTTTAATACTTTCAAGAGAGGACCCATTCTTTGGAAGGTATATTTACTGTTTCTGTCCATTCATTAATGTCATTATTCATTAATGTCCATTCATTATTCCAAAAGCTTAGAATTTTCAAAATAATTTTGGTTGATTGGAGTTAAGCTTCTGAGGCAGTGAAAATAAACCTATCTTTATATAGATAGAATACTGTTACAACCTTTGAAAAGTGACAAAATCATTTTGAGAGTCCAGTTTCATTAAAATGAAAGTCTACTTTAACATTTTTAAGATAGCAGATTATTATGAAATTCAAATAGTAACAAAATTAGGGGTGGGAGGAATTATACAGAAAGAATTTTTGTTTGAAATTAATGCAAAAGTCTCAGGGGAGGTAAATAATGCTTTGATCTTTTGCCATAACTAAATTTGTGTATTATGTAAACTACATAATAAAATTTAACATGTTTAAAAAGTATTATTTTGGTGGTATTTAAGTTTGTCTGCTTTTTGCTGTTGGTTTTTGATCTTTTGAAGCATAACCATTATTTGGAAATGGTAAAGTTTGTAAAATGATAGGGCTCTTGGTGATGTGGTTTATAAATAAAGTGATAATTTTTTAATGAATTAGTATATGTAAATTGGTTTTTCACTGGTAATAAATCGAGTAATTTGTGATGTTTTAGAATATTTTTTTATGCTAATTTTTCCTAGTTTTCAAAATTTGAATCTTTACTCAAATAAGTCATGGCCCAACACAGTCTACCGGGCCCTGATTTAAACCGAGACCTCCCATGTTACAACCCTCACCCGCTGAAATATCGAGAAGCATACTGCCGTTAAAAACGAAAACAAATGAAACAAACTTCATAGTCCCCAAATCTTCTGTAACTCCAAAATATCACCAGCATTCTTTGCTTAATATTGTGTGGTTATTTTATTTATGCATCTTAATTATCAAGAGGATAATGTTTTTATTCACTAAAATGTACATTTGGTAAACAGCTTTTATGGAATACAGAGTTCCAATATTTAATTCTAACGCATGTTAGCAAAACCCAGGGCATAGTCAGTGTTCAGGACATGGATTAAACTTAAATTGGCAAGAGGATGACCTGATGAAATTGTTGAAATGGGATTCTAATCTGTAGTGTAGCTAACTGAAACTATGAATTTAAACATGCTGTTTTAATTATTCCAGAGCATTCCCCATATGGTCCCTCACCATTGGGTCGACCTTCATCTGAAACGAGAGCTTTTCTCTCCCCTCCAACTTTGTTGGAGGGTCCACTCAGATTCTCACCTTTGCTTCCAGGGGGAGGAGGAAGAGGTATATTGTTTAAACATCTTTATTACTCTAGATTCTCCTTACTTTATATTTCCATCTCAACTTCTCTTTAAAAACAATCTTTAAAATAATCCTTTGGAAAATGCAGGCATTCCTTGCACTTATTGTGGGTTACTTTTGTTTGGAATAGGAGCTCTATGACATCTAATTTTAATATATTTTTCTCTTTAAACTGTGTTATGGTACAATACATTTTGGTCAAGCAGTTGATCCATATCTTCATTTTTAACATCATAAAAACTACATTATATACTACGTAATATAAAACTTTAAAAGAATACATAAAATAACAATATAACTTTGCATAAAATTGTATTTTCATGAAACATTAGGATGTAGAATTTTAAAATCTTTTTTTTACTTTGTTATAATGATCTTTTTATTGTAGAAAATCAAAGTAAAAGAACTTTTATTTTAGTGTTGAAGGAATCAGAATTGCTCTTTTGTACACAGAGTTTTGATGGGAACCTTAAAAGAGACCTAAGTCATTTGTTAGTACTTTGAAAAACCAACCTAAGATTCTCTGCTTTGTTACTCCTTTATGTGTTTTTGAGAGTCTCCAGAGCTACTTCAAGCCCCTAAGTATTAGTTGTTGGTCTTTCTGCATTTACCACAACAGTACTCACTCAGGTGTTACCTATGTACCTGGAGTATTCCTCTTTTTTTTTTTCAGATTTTATTTATTTATTTTTAGAGAGAGGGGATAAGAGGGAGAAAGAGAGGCAGAGAAACATCGATGTGGGAAACATCGATATGTTGCCTCTGAAACACGCCCTGTTCTGGGACTGAACCTGCAACTCAGGCATAGCCTGACCAGGAATCGAACTGGTGACCTTTCGCTTTGTGGGGCAGTGGCCAACTAACTGAGCCACACCAGTTAGGGCTGTAGTATTCCTCTTTTGATCTCTCATCATAACTTTGTTCTTTTTGTCAAGTTGCTTTAAAATTTTCCATTGAATTTTGGCAAATTTTAAAGATATAGAGCCCTCTTGCTCCCAAAATCAAAACTCTTAGGTTTTTAGACCCAAGCCTGTGTTTTGCTGGAGCTGATAGCATTCTTCACCAGTGTCGTGTCCCCATTCCTCGCTTTTTGTCAGTGATTTTAGCATATTGAATCTGAGGTGGGACCAGAAAATAATGAGACCAAATAAAAACAAACTAAACTGAACATAGGAAAGCTCTAATCTTCAAATGGATACTACTCATCAAAGTAGCATCTCTGCGAGTCTGTGTACTTCCCTGCTGAAGCTTTTAAATATTTTTGGATCGCTTTTTTGGAATTTCCTTCAAGAATGTGAAAAAATTTCTTCATGTTCATGGGATATTCTCTCTTTCCCATTTCTTATTTACATACTCTTTCCCCATCCTCAGTTTGCTACACTTATTGGTCCTTCCTGCTTCCTAGTCCCACAGCAGATTGGACCCACAGCCTTTACTTGTATTGGCTTTGAACTGAGAGCTCCTAGGGAAAGAGATTGAGTTGCAGATTGATCCTTGGAGGCCTAAGAGAGATTTGCTTTAAGCACTCTGAGGCAGGGACTAATTTTGAAATTCACATGTGTGCTGTAGGTGTCCTAAATCCCTTTCCCCCTAATTTTTTGCCTTGACCTAGAGTAAGAAGTGCATTTTATATCTTGTTATATTGTATACCAATATAGATGTAATTGAAACCATAGTACTTAATACTATTTTCAGTGCTTTCTGATACTTTCTGTTAAGTTCTATTCCATTTCATTAAAAAAGAATAATGATTAAGACTATGTTAATTTCATGCACCAAAATGGGTTGCAGCCAGCAGTCTGAAAAACAGTGCCCTATAAATAAGGGTATAACTGGCTAGATGCAAATGTGAATCACTGGAAGTTGAATGACATAAGTCAAGGATTGCGTGTAGTCAATTGAATATTGGAATAAGAGTAAAAACTACCTTTGATTTCTCCTCTCCTATTTAAATTACTTTCTTTCCTCTCCTTTTTAATTACTTTGAAGATTTGATGTATTTGCGTTATTTGCAAGGGTGTTTTACTGTTTGTTAGAAAAGCCACAGAAGAATTGAAAAGAAAGTATAAAGTTACAACATATATCCTGGTTACCTGCATAAATAAACAACAATTTATTTTAAATAAATAAATAAATAAATATAAAGAGAAGCTGCAGAGGTTTTGGGTAAGTAATTAACAAGTTTTAAAAGAGTTGCTTTGAACTGACAGTTTCTATGACCCACCAAAGAAGGATGACCAGTGCCCTTCCTTTTTCCTTCCTTTTATTACCTTTTAAAATTAGAAAGTTTGGATGAGATATATGTTTGAATAAGATTAAGTATAAGGAAACTAATTTCTTTTTAGAGTAATTTTTATATGACATTGGGTCTGAATGAAAAATTTTAACCTTTAGCAATTTATCATTTTTACCTGGTAGTAAGTCAGTGGGCCTGTACTTGGCCCTCTGGAAGTAATCAGAAGAAAGCCTTTGACAGTCTCTTTTAAAGATCTGTGCTTCACTCTAGATGAATTTAGCCTAATTGACTCGTGTACATTTCTTACCAATATAGTTTTCTTCTTTTCCAACCTTTTTCTTTTAATGAACTGATGCTTAAAAGGATGAACAAGCTAGAAGGAAATATTTGGGGAATTTAATAGCATGTACAACTACAAGGAAAAGAGATAGTTAATCTTCTAACATGAAAGTCAGTTTACCTCCTGACTCCACAAAAGAGAGTAAATAAATTTTTTTTTACAAGATTACTATATATTAAAAAAGAGAAAGCTTATACTGATTTGCACAAGTTGTCAAGAGAAGGTCAAATTAATTTTTGTTTCCTCCTAAAGGAGGTTCTGAAATGTGGGAAGCATTTTAGAAAGACTTCTATTTAAAAATGCTTTTATTTTTTAAAACTGTTCTTTGAAAAGGAATAAGCTTCTGTTTATGGGGCAGTATAATTTTGAGAAGACCTCATTCATCCCTCAATGATAGACAGATGAGATATTAATATATTTTATTATTTAGTGTTAAAATAATTTTTACATTTGTTTTTCTATTTTAATTTAATATGGGTTATTAATTGAGGTACCCCTCCTTTATTAATGTAGGCATGACAGATTTTTTTTAATCCAAATAAATATTATTTTGCTCGAAGTGTTTGCCCCAATAAGTGCTGTTGTTTCTGAAACTCTTCTTTTAGAACCTGCCTTTAGGGCTATGAGCTCTTCTTGAAGGTGAATTTGACATTTAGTGTAGAAGTTGCTACAAGCCACTGTTCCAGTACTGATACAATTTCTTGAGTGGCTCTAAAATTAATGTATATATATTTCCAAAACCTTTTTCCAAGAAATACTTTGCATAGTTGCAGAATTATTGAAACATGTGTATTGGCACTAAGATGACTCTTTTAAAGAAATCATGCTCTTTGGCTATTGGTAGATTAGTTTAAGCAATAAAAAGTTTATAATTATTTTTATTGCCTCTGATATAGAAATCTTTACTTTGAAATTTACTTTCTACTTTTATTTTTCAAACATTATTTATAATTTAAAATTTAACCACCAATCTTATGTGTTAAAATATTGTGATGATAACATTTAAAAACAAATTTTATAAGCAAGTGCTTATTTATGGACATGGAAAATTTATCCTAGAAAGGGCTTTGGTAGGAGAGAGTTGTAGTCTAATGTGTCCTAGAGAAACTTTGTTGGAATCTGATTGTTTTCAATTTTAAAAATGTCTGGTATTTATTTGATGATAGGTCTTGTAATACTTCTTTAGATAAAACAGAATTGTATTTTTTTTCTTTAATTAGGTTCAGAAGGCCCGGGGAATCCTCAGGACCATCCTATTATTAATGAAAGGAGAAAATCAAGCTGTGATAAATTAACTGATCCTCACAGGGAACCTTCTGACACTGGGTCCCTTTCACCTTCATGGGATCAAGATCATAGGATGATGATTCCTCCGTCAGGTATGGAAAGAGTATATGTAACATGCAGGAATGGGCCCTGTCTTAAGAAAAACCATGATACATATTAGAACACAACAGTAACACAAAATTTCCAAACAAAATAATTAGGTGTAATTGTTCACATTACTGAAAGCTACTTTATACCCCTCCACAAATGGAATGTCTTTATTGTTTTTGTTGCTTATGGAAGTAATACATGTTTATTTTAGAAAATCTAAGCAATACAGAAATGTATAATTAGGAAAGTTGAAAAATCCTGCTATTATCTTAGCATGTCTTTCCCAGAATTTAGTTATATGACAAGTTCAGTGCAGAAAGTATCTAGCCATGTAATATGACAAATAGAGACATTTATTGAAGAAGTTACAAGATGCAAGAAACATTGTATATAAAACAATGATGCCTCAGTCCCCTTCAAAGTAGGCACCTTGGGCCCTCATACAGTTCTCCCAATCACCATCAGCTGCCTTATTATATTTTCTGAATCTCATCCTCAGTCTGAAATCTCCTTCCTTTGAAAGGTGATTTTAGTTTTGGGAAAAGCCAGAAGTCACAGGGCATCAAATCTGGGCTATAGGGAGTGCTGAGTCACCAGGGTGATTGAGGTTTCACTAAAAACCTCTGCACCAAGATGCGATGCATGAGTGGGAGTGTTACTGTGATGAAGCTGCCATTGCCAGCTGCCCACAGCTGAGGCCTTCTGAATCATCTGACAAGTTTTCACAGAGGAATGTTCAAACTTAACGCAAAATTTGATGCAGATTCCTTGCTCTGCTCAGTCATTTTGAAATGTGATGGCCACAAAGTACACATGCTCACTCAATGGTGTCTACCACCCCCACAAACTAGTACAGTGAAGTTGTCATTGTTCACGCATACACATTCCAGTCCTCTCCCCCTGGTTGCCAGGTTACATCAATGTTGCACAAACTGTTCTAGTTATAATAACAATAGTTGGACTTTTTCCAGCCAGACTTTGTGCATCTTTTTGGGATGTTTTTTGGGGGAGGGTATGCATTCATAAACATAGGTATACAAATTTCTTAGTCACTTACGTTGCACTAACAGTATCCACCCCCTTGTAATTGTCTTTTATTGACTGATTGAGTTTAGAGAAGGAAGGGGGACAGAGAGAGAGAAACATTGATTTTTTCACTTATTTATGCCTTCATTGGTTGCTTCTTGTGTTTGCCCTGAGCAGAGATCTAACTCATAATCTTAGCATATTGGGAGATGCTCTAACCACTGGAGCTACCTGGCCAGGGCATAATTGTCTTTATTTATATGTTTGTTTACTTGTTTATTTATTTACTTATGTGTATCCTCATCTGAGGGCTTTTTTTTCATTGCTTTTAGAGAGGGGGGAAAGGGGAGGCAGGGGGAGAGAGCGAGAGGAACATTGATGTGAGAAACATCAATTGGTTTCCTTTTTGTTGGCACCCTGACTGGGGTTTGAACCCTCAAGCTGGGTATGTGACCAAGAATCGAACCCGTGACCTTCTGGTCTGTGGGAAGACATTCAAACCAGCTGAGCCATGCCAGGCAGAGCTAATTGTCTTTTTTTAGCTGAATAATATATCTCAGATATCTTGCTAAAATATATATATTTACCAGAAGACTCATAGCAGAATATCCTGAAAAAAGGCAATTAGTGTTGTTTCCATAGCCCCTATTATGAATGTATTTCAAATTATTTAGTTTGCTGAACTTTTACTTATGCTCTGTATTTCAGGGCCATTGTTATGTAAAGTTAGCTATGTGCCTGCATTGTATAAATTACTTACATTTAAAAAAAAATACTATTTTATATTTCTTCCGGAGAAATTGGAGAAGGAATCATATTCTGGTTAAAAGGCTTTAATTTCAGGAATTAACCTTTGTTATGGTAGTATGTGTATGTTCTCTGAAGTGGTAGTCCTTATACTGTGGTTGCTGCTTTATTTGATATCATTAAAAATATTAGATTCATAGAGGTAGAGATTTGTGTTACTTTTGTTCACAACCCTTAGAACAATGCTAGGTATGTAGTATTTATTCAGGAAATGTTGAATGAATGAATACCTAAATCTGAGAAAGCTGGGTATTTTTTCTTACAGTTTTTATATTTAGAAATATATATGCTGTTACTTAATTACAAACTTAAGAATTTAGAAAGGGATGGTATGGAACATCTTTGAAAGACTCCTTCTTGACGTTTAATATTTATTTAAAAGTGTTTAGCTGTGATAAAAATAAAGATTAATAAATTACAACCTCTGTCCTAAGGGACTTGATTGTAAGGGTTGGCAGATATCATCTCTCTACATCTGTGCCAACCTTCCTTTAGAGAATTCACAAGTTATCGACCCCAAGAGTCTGTACATATGTTCTGCCTATCTCCCCAAAGTATCATCTGTTTGTCCTTGGTGCATCTCTATCCCATCCAAATAGTCACGGAACAGGTTTCTGGGTTGGTTCTTTTACTTTGTATTACAAATTGCTAATTGGTAAATTAGAGCATGAAACAAGGAATGAAAAGGCTTCAGTTTTTATTTTATCGTTGCTGTTAATTTCTTGTGTAGCCTTGAGTGTTTCATTGTGGGTGTCACTGTTTTCTCAGCTCTAAAATATGGACTTCTGTGAAACAGAGGAGTGGTGATAATCTAAAGTAATCCTCTCACCCCCTTTTTTTACTTTCAAAATAGCATTTTACAAATTGACATTTACAAATTGCATATTCAAAATTACCTTACAGTTTACAACTATATAGGAACTTCAAAAACAGGAGAATTAGCAATGACATTGAAGGAACAAATACCACAATTGAACTGTGGTGTCTTCCTGGCCCCTTCCTGGTGTATATAACAGTGCTTTTAGAAGTTGCTTTTGTAAGCACGAATTTGTTAGAAAAATATTCAAGTTTTGTTCAGCATGGGTCTTGGCGTTTTTCTTTTTTTTTCCAGTTTGCTTTAGGATTCAGTGATTTCCTAGATAAAACTTCATGAGTAGATGCAAAAACTTTTATCTTAGGAAATTAACATAATTTAGCATTTATATGCCATGATCATTCTGTAGAAGTTAATGAAATTAATTTTTATGACTGTGTACAAATACATGGAGTAATTGAGATCCACAAAAGCACACACATGTCAAAAGGGTTGAAGATAAGTCAAATGATTTGTCTTTCCAATTTTTTTAGTTTTTCTGTTTGCTAACTGTAGTGTACTGACTTATTTCCTAATATTCATACTTAACTGCTACATTTCCAGCCTTATGGACCAACTGACATTTGATTTTTGATTCATTTGATGCACTTAAAGCATGTGAGTCACTCTTCTCTAAACTCAATTGAGGAACATACCTTTTTTAATTTTTAAAAACTTCTTATTGGGAGACTTCCTGATCCAGGTCAAGTTACAGTATACTCGAACTGGAAAATATTGCTATGAGTAGGCTGTGATTAGCCATGTAAAAACTAGAGCAACGATTAAAAGACTTGCTTAAAGAAATACATTCAAGGAGAATCAAGATGGCGGAGGAGTGACTAGAAGTCACACTGATCTCCCAGGACCAATCTGGAATCACAACTAAATTGTGGAGAAATCACCTGGAACAAATGGCTGAACAATAGCAAGATAGGAGCCTTATAACTTTGGAGAAACAGAAGAATCAACTTTAGCACAGCCTAACCAGTAAGGAGTATGTAGAGACTCGAGAAGGTGGGCACGGTGCCCCTGTGTGGCAGCACCAGAAGGATATTGAAACGGCTAGTTGGATGCCTCTGAGGAGAACGGGGTCTAAACCATAAGTGGAGATCTCCAACCTACAGTGGAGAGCACCAGAGCCCCAAAAAGTACACAGATAACAGCCAGCTGTGAAAAGCGGCAGGGTTGTTCTCCGCCAGAGTCGGGCAGCTGGAGTTGCAAAGAGCCTTTTAAAGGTGCAATGCATAAATTTTTTCTTGCAGCCACTTACCCTGGTCTCTGGCAAAGGTGGGGACAGAGTAGGCTAGAGATGCCTAAGGAGAGACTGGGGATGGAGGCTTTGGGGAGAAAATTGAGAGAGTGGCCAGAGGGATCCCAGTGCTGACTCATCCCCTATGCGGCAGCAGCCATCTTGCTCTGGCAGACAACTCCCCTGAGCAGCAGCAGCGTGAGAGGACTCAATAATCTCGCCCCCAGGAGGGACTCAGCCCTGGCCCAGTAGTGCTAAAGGCTGATTGCTGAGTACAGAGTGGCAGCCACAGATAGAAGATCCCTAGTTAAAGAGGGGTATGGGAGAGTAGAGTGGTCTAGAGACAGAGGATTTGGGGAGAGAATGGAGAGAGTAGCTGCCGGGATCCTGGTGCTGACTCTTCTTCCATATGGCAGCAGCCATTTGGTTCAGGCAGACCACACCCCTGAGTGGCAGCAATGTGAGAGGACCCAATAACTCCGCCCCCAGGAGGAACTCTTCCCCGCCCTGTGGTCTCTAGGCTGACCTGCCAAGTGCAGAGTGACTAGATTAACAACTGAAGGAGGCAGCCACAGACAGTAGATTCCCAGGTGTCTTGAACAGACTGCCTAAGGTCAGGGTCAACATCTGACATCAGAGGCAAATCCAGAAAGAAAAAAGAGCGGTCTCCTACCATGGATGTTCACACCACAAAGTCAGGAAATCAAGACAGATCAATTTAAGAAGCAGGAGCAAAAAAGAAGAGTCTCACAAATAATGGGAAGACAAAGAAACACCCCTCAGTCGAAGGGAAAGGAGGAATCCCCAGAAAGAGAAGTAAATGAAATAGAGGCAAGTAAACTATCAGATATTGAGTTCAAAACAATGATTCTAAGGAAGCTCAACAAGCTCAGTGAGCTCAGAGAGAATTACAAAAAACTACAGGGAAACTATGAGGAACTTTCTGCAAATTATATCAGCATGAAAAAGGACATAGAAACACTCAATAAGAGACAAGAGGAAATGAAGAGTACAACTTCTGAATTTAAGAACACACTAGAAGGAATCGAAAGCAGGCTAGATGAAAC